TTTTTATTAAATCAGGTGTTTAAAAGGTCCACAGAGCTCAAAATCGGCTATTTTAGATGGAAAACAGCTGTTTTTATAAAATCAGGTGGTTAGGAGGTCCATAGAGCTCAAAATCGGCAATCTTAGATGAAAAACCGCTATTTTTTATGAAACCAGGTGTTTAGGAGGTCCGAAGAGCTTAAAATCAGCAATCTTAGATGGAAAACAGCTGTTTTTATGAAATCAGGTGTTTGGGAGGTCCAGAGAGCTCAAAATCGGCAATCTTAAATGGAAAACAGCTGTTTTTATGAAATCAGGTGTTTAGGAGGTCCAGAGAGCTCTAAATAGGCTATTTTAGATGAAAAACAGCCGTTTTTATTAAATCTGGTGTCCACAGAGCTCTAAATCGGCTATTTTGGATGGAAAACAGCTGTTTTTTTTAAGAAATCAGGTGTTTAGGAGGTCCAGAGAGCCCAAAATCGTCTATTTTAGATTGAAAACAGCTGTTGATATCAAATCAGGTGTTTTCAGGAATTTTCCAATTTTTTCGACTAGAATCATGGTTTAACCCCTTTGCAAAAAATCCAAAATGGTGACTTAAAGAAGATATTTTTATAGCAAGAAAATGCTTATTTTATATCAAGAATATAAGCAAACATTATTTAAAAGCATATTTTGAGGAAAAATGAAGAGAGGAATTTTCCAATTTTGGGACCAAAATCATGGGTTAACCCCTTTGTAATAAATCCAAAATGGCGATTTCTTCCAAAAGTATATTTTTATAGCTTGGGAAGGCGTTTTTTTATCAGGAACGTCAAAACATTTTAGGCCTTTCTTGACCAAAAGTGAAAAGAGAAAAATTTTCCAAATTTTTTTACGAAAATCATGGGAACTTTTGAAATTTTTAGGTCCTTCCTATGGTTATATCCCGATGTCCAAACAAGGGTTGTGTTACTCTCTGCCAAATAATATTATAACCAAAGCACATTAACTCTTAGTTTATTAATCCAGCTATAAATATGAGAGAAACTTACAATAAGACAGAATAAGATTATCGTAATAAGAAAAGGGCATTATTATTTAGCGGTCAACATTTTATAATGAGAAAATAGCCGACAGATATCTTGAGACAAAGAAAACTAAAAAATGTTAATATGTCTCTTAGACCACCTCCCATTTCCCACTCTTGTTTATTCTTGCTGCGGAGGTCTTGGCCAAGACCGTCCGAAACAATAAGAGCATAAGAGGTTTTTCTCTAGGTATTAAATGACGGAGTTAAGATAAGCCAATACGCTGATGATACCACTCTTATTATATAAACACCAATGAAATACCAGGTGAACTTTCACGCGAAAACTTGATATCTTCACATGTCAAAATTCACATCTAAAAATACCACCTTTGCTATGGCTACATAATAAATCGCGCCTTTCACACCAAAAAATTATTAAAGTGAAATGGTTTGGTATTTCATTGGTGTTTATGTCATAAATAGAACATTACATGGCCGCTTGGAGATAAGAAATTTCTCTTCGTCTTGTTAGGAGAGAAAAGACAGGTCCATTAATTTACCAAAAACTGATCAGAACAAAAAGTTGAACCCCACATAAAAGCCAACTAAAATGGCTTCAAGACTGTAATTTCTCAGACGAAGAAGGAACAATTAATTGGCCATTTGCACTAAGAAGTCATGTGACATCGTTTTTATGAAAATGAAAGTTATATGATTTTGCCTTCGAAAAACGATTACCGGGTCATATCCTAAACAAAATAAAATTGATTTGTTTTTTCAAACCTGCAACATTTTCTTAAAATGAGTAAGTTCGTGGCTGGTCACCTGACCAAATGTGATTTTGAAAATTACCAATTACCTCTTTCTGAACACAAATTTTGCACTTAAACTTCAAGGAAAATTTTGAAAAAATGATGTGGTAACGTTTACAGTACATCTGAACGTAACTATCAAAAGTTTAACAAGATGTAAGCAAAAAGTAGTTTTGGCCGCCATATTGGAGGGCAAGAGTATGCCCTCCAACATGGCGGCCAATACAAATCATCCCACTTTGTTGAAAAATCAAAGTGCCATAAAATATCGCCCTTAAATGCTTTTCCTCTCAAATTTCGGGTGTAAGATAATTTTTATGTGCTCTGTCAATTTTTGGCATCAGCAGGATTCCAACTCATTGTTTGAGGGAAGCATTGGTCACGTGACCTCTTAGTGCAAATGGCCTATTGGGAACTTGCCTATCTTACGGCGCAACGGTGCACGAAAAGAACCAAACTGATAGAGTTCCAATTTAAACTATTACAAAGGCGCATACTAACCAATGATTTCTTACTTAAAGCAGGACGAAAAGTAAATGACAACTGTCCCTTTTGCAACAATTCCTCAGAGACGCTAATTCATCTTTTTTGGTCTTGCCATGTTACATCCTCTTTTTGGAAAAGTGTAACTGATTTCTAGCTTCAAAACGCTGTTCCGTTAATCGGTAAATACAACTTATTGAACATTACTGCACTTGGCTTGAGACAGGAGCCTCATTCTATAGAATACTCGTGTCAATTAAACTATTGTCTCCTGTTAGCGCGATTTCATGCATTTGGCAAGCCAAAATGGATGAAATATCGCCTAATTTTGGCAGTTTTCTAAGCCTGGTTAATTCAAGATTTATAATATCAGAAAATTATATCTATCTATTATATTTAAAAAATGGAACTTTCTTACAGATAGCTCTTAATACAGCTCTTGATATCGATTGTTTCCTTTCCCCTGACGGTCAAATACCAAGAAATTGAAAGAATTGTAAATCTTGTATTTAAGTAAATGTAAGTGACTGATTGTATACAATCAACGTTCGTTCATTGCTGCTGTTGTTTTTAGGTTGTCGAACTGTAATTTCTTTTAACTTTTGTTGTTTCTTGGGTTTTCCCTATTCCCTACTGTTGAAACGGTGAACAGTGAAAAAAAACTGTGAAAGGTTTGAACCCAGGAGTCATTTCAAAAGGTTGAGTTTGATCGTCCGGGTGAACGTAGTCCTGAATAGGACTGTTGTTGTTGACAGTGACTGACGTTTCGACAACCTGTGCGGTAGTCATCTTCAGAGTCAAAGTGAGTTGTATCACGTCAGTTGATGGTATTATACTCGGGTTATTGATCTGATTGGTCAATAATGTCGCGATGTTATTGGTCGTCTGTCAGTTAAGCCGTGATGTTATTGGCTATGAAGACTCGTAATCAGTGATTGGTGCGTTTCGATCCGTCTATTGTCGCAGTTAAACAGTCGTCTATTGTTAGTCAAATTGTTAGTTCTCCAGTTGTTCTCTCGTAGTTAGTTTTGCTTGATCTCGTCAGTAAGTCGTTTGTACGGCGCTGGTAACTGTTGACTACGATTCAGTGGCGTTTGTTCTAAGTTAGTAAACCAGCTTTCTAAAGTAAGACGTTGATAGTAGTCTGTAGAATACGTTATACATGTCGCAGAGTCCCAGTCAATTTGATGTTTCGTCTTTAAATGGTGCTCAGTAATGTGATTGTTGACGTCACCATTCCTCGTCGCGCGTTTGTGTTCGGTCAGTCGCGTGCTTAGGTTTCTGTCGGTTTCACCAATGTAAGAAGCCTGGCAGTCGCAGCATTTGATCTTGTATACTGCTCCCTGTCTGTCCTCCGGTTTGTCTTTGTCCTTGACATTAATAAGCAGTCGCCGTAAAGTGGTTATCGGTTTGTGCGCAACACGTATATTGTAAGGTTGTAATATACGTGCAATAGTTTCAGAGGTGCCTCTGATGTACGGTATAGTCGCTGTCGTAACAGCGTAACAGTATAACGTATTCTACAGACTACTATCAACGTCTTACTTTAGGAAGCTGGTTTACTAACTTAGAACAAACGCCACTGAATCGTAGTCAACAGTTACCAGCGCCGTACAAACGACTTATTGACGAGATCAAGCAAAACTAACTACGAGAGAACAACTGGAGAACTAACAATTTGACTAACAATAGACGACTGTTTAACTGCGACAATAGACGGATCGAAACGCACCAATCACTGATTACGAGTCTTCATAGCCAATAACATCACGGCTTAACTGACAGACGACCAATAACATCGCGACATTATTGACCAATCAGATCAATAACCCGAGTATAATACCATCAACTGACGTGATACAACTCACTTTGACTCTGAAGATGACTACCGCACAGGTTGTCGAAACGTCAGTCACTGTCAACAACAACAGTCCTATTCAGGACTACGTTCACCCGGACGATCAAACTCAACCTTTTGAAGTGAAAATAAAAAATAGCAAAACTGCCTGCTGCACTGAATAAAAGCCCAGCGTAATGCGAACATCAGTCCCCGTTTATTTATACAAATAAAACACTTAAGTACTGCAAAGGTAGTGAAGCAGGAAAATGTAACAAGCTCTAAGTAAAGTTGTTTGATCGATAATGTAATAAAAATGATATAGTGTCTGCTGCCCGTCAGGAAAAACCCCCTTAGCTAAGGAGGAAACCTGAACCCTCCCGAAAGCAGAGCCAGACACTTAACAGGAACCTCGAGGGAGAGAGGTTGAACTAGAATACAAAATTATGAGTACATCAACGACGAACTACAATCAATTCAAAAGACACAAAAAGAAAAAAAGCATTGACAAACGAAACTCATGCAGCGATGTCAGCTTAGAATGATCACCTCAGTAAAATCCCGCCTTTTTATACTTGAGTCTCCATGACAGCTATCAATAAGTTGGAACCATGAAAAAGATAATTTTCTGCTATTCTTAGAACCGCAGCAAATAACAATTTGTGTTGTAATTTAGATGCTGCATCAGTACGTTGGTCTATTTGCTTGATTCAATGAATCCTTCAAACTTTTATGGATCTTGAAATCTTTTCATGTTTCTCTCGTACTTGGTACATCGCTTAACTTTAAAATTATAGTGTCCCGTCTGAGGATTTCTGGCGATATGAACTCCGTTCACCTACTAAAACATCCTTCTCTGAAAGGTGCTCTGGCCAGCACAAGGTAGATTCCACCAAAAGAATTCGGTAAAATGGAAACTTGTCAGGATCTTCTGTGTTTGTATCCAATTATCAGGTGTGGTAGCTCCAATTAAAAGTGATGTGGCAGAATAATGTCCGACAGGTTCGGCAGATCAAGACCTGAAATGACAAGTTTGATAAAATCAGCATCACAATGTATTACCAAATACTTGTTTAACAAGTCACTCTTGTTATGCTTTGTGCTTTTTTCAATTTGAAAATCACGTAATGTTAATTCTCAAGGAAAGGTATAAGACAGGTATTAATCCAAAAAATTGAATTAAGTCACATACCTGATCGACAAATCCAGGATACAGGATGGCTCGGCCTCCATGCCAGCTCTGCTTTCTTCCCCATCACAGGCGAGAAATCTTGCCACCACATTCCTTCTAACTGAAAGATATGAAATATGATAACAAGCACAAAGAGTCAATGTTTAAATTCAAATCAAGGTTTCATCGCATAAAGTGAACTGAAATGGGAAAAACAAGTATTACAACAAACTGCTGTAAACTGTGTTTCTTCAAGGATTTGTGCAAGAGTGATAATGGAAGCCATAATCAAATGAAGACAGGTAAATAATGGTCATGCCCTGACCACAATCACAACAGGAGTAGAGAAACAGTCAGTTTGAGTACCAACTTATTTGGGTATCCTGGCTTTACCAGGTCCACACCACACCAATAAGGGCAAGCACAAGGGATGCCTTTGTAGTTGAACACTACAAATAGGGAAGAACAGTTAGTATGAGTTTCTGGTTTCCATACTTACTGGTTTATAGGTTGACCGGTTCTATGATCTCTGATCTCTTGTGTTGTGTAGATTAAGTGACACCGGCTTCTGCCGAAACAGTTCATCGGCCACATAACACCACTACACCTTCCACAAGTTCAGCTTTCATAGGAATTCAGTCATACACAAGCATCCAGCCACCATAAGGAATCCAATATTTCATACAAGTTGTATCTTCGACAAGCTTCCAGTCAGATATCTGGAATGTATGTGGCAGGCATCAAGGATTCAGTTGTGAATCCATGATCACAACAAGTGAAGAGGAACAGTCACTATGAGAACTGACCGAGTGGATGTGCTATTAAATCAGGTGTTTAGGAGGTCCACAGAGCTCAAAATTGCCCTTTTTAGATGATAAATAGATGATAAAGGGGAAGAACAGTTAGTATGAGTTTCTGGTTTCCATACTTACTGGTTTATAGGTTGACCGGTTCTATGATCTCTGATCTCTTCTGTTGTGTAGATTAAGTGACACCGGCTTCTGCCGAAACAGTTCATCGGCCACATAACACCACTACACTTTCCACAAGTTCAGCTTTCATTGAATCCGGTCATACACAAGCATCCAGCCACCATAAGGAATCCAATATTTCATACAAGTTGTATCTTCCACAAGCTTCCAGTCAGATATCTGGAATGTATGGGGCAGGCATCTGGGAAGCAGTTGTGGATCCATGATCACAACAAGTGAAGAGGAACAGTCACTATGAGAACTGACTGAGTGGGTGTGTTATTAAATCAGGTGTTTCGGAGGTCCACAGAGCTCAAAATTGCCCTTTTTAGATGATAAATAGATGATAAAGGGGAAGAACAGTTAGTATGAGTTTCTGGTTTCCATACTTACTGGTTTATAGGTTGACCGGTTCTATGATCTCTGATCTCTTCTGTTGTGTAGATTAAGTGACACCGGCTTCTGCCGAAACAGTTCATCGGCCACATAACACCACTACACTTTCCACAAGTTCAGCTTTCATTGGAATCCGGTCATACACAAGCATCCAGCCACCATAAGGAATCCAATATTTCATACAAGTTGTATCTTCCACAAGTTTCCAGTCAGATATCTGGAATGTATGGGGCAGGCATCTGGGAAGCAGTTGTGGATCCATGATCACAACAAGTGAAGAGGAACAGTCACTATGAGAACTGACTGAGTGGGTGTGTTATTAAATCAGGTGTTTCGGAGGTCCACAGAGCTCAAAATTGCCCCTTTTAGATGATAAATAGATGATAAAGAGGAAGAACAGTTAGTATGAGTTTCTGGTTTCCATACTTACTGGTTTATAGGTTGACCGGTTCTATGATCTCTGATCTCTTGTGTTGTGTAGATTAAGTGACACCGGCTTCTGCCGAAACAGTTCATCGGCCACATAACACCACTACACCTTCCACAAGTTCAGCTTTCATTGGAATCCGCTCATACACAAGCATCCAGCCACCATAAGGAATCCAACATTTCATACAAGTTGTATCTTCAACAAGTTTCCAGTCAGATATTTGGAATGTATGGGGCGGGCATCTGGGAAGAAGTTGTGGATCCATGATCACAAAAAGTGAAGATGAACAGTCACTATAAGAACTGACTGAGTGGGTGTGTTATTAAGTCAGGTGTTTCGGAGGTCCACAGAGCTCAAAATTGCCCTTTTTAGATGATAACTGGATGATAAAGGGGAAGAACAGTTAGTATGACTTTCTGGTTTCCATACTTACTGGTTTATAGGTTGACCGGTTCTATGATCTCTGATCTCTTGTGTTGTGTAGATTAAGTGACACCGGCTTCTGCCGAAACAGTTCATCGGCCACATAACACCACTACACCTTCCACAAGTTCAGCTTTCATTGGAATCCAGTCATACACAAGCATCCAGGCACCATAAGGAATCCAACATTTCATACAAGTCGTATCTTCCACAAGTTTCCAGTCAGATATCTGGAATGTATGGGGCGGGCATCTGGGAAGAAGTTGTGGATCCATGATCGCAACAAGTGAAGATGAACAGTCACTATAAGAACTGACTGAGTGGGTGTGTTATTAAATCAGGTGTTTAGGAGTTCCACAGAGCTCAAAATTGGCCTTTTTAGATGATAAATAGATGATAAAGGGGAAGAACAGTTAGTATGAGTTTCTGGTTTCCATACTTACTGGTTTATAGGTTGACCGGTTCTATGATCTCTGATCTCTTGTGTTATGTAGATTAAGTGACACCGGCTTCTGCCGAAACAGTTCATCGGCCACATAACACCACTACACCTTCCACAAGTTCAGCTTTCATTGGAATCCGGTCATACACAAGCATCCAGCCACCATAAGGAATCCAATATTTCATACAAGTTGTATCTTCCACAAGTTTCCAGTCAGATATCTGGAATGTATGGGGCAGGCATCTGGGAAGCAGTTGTGGATCCATGATCACAACAAGTGAAGAGGAACAGTCAGTATGAGAAATGACTAAGTGGGTGGGTTATTAAATAAGGTGTTTAGGAGGTCTGGAGAGCTCAAAATCGGCTTTTTTATCAAATCATGTGTTTAGGAGGTCCAGAGAGCAATCAGCATCACAATGTATCACTAATTACGTGTTTAAGAAGTCACTCTTGTTATGCTTTGTGCTTTTTTCAACTTGAAAACCACATAATGTTAATTCTCAAAGAAAGGTCTTAGACAGTTATTATTCTGAAAAATTAAATCAAGTCACATACCTGATCGACAAATCCAGGGTACTTGGTGGAGGGAAAAAACAACAGTGGCTCGGCCTCCATGCCAGCTCTGGTTTCTTCCACATGACAGGCGAGAAATTTTGTCACCACACTCCTTCTAATAAATTATAATTTATACGAAATATGATAACAAGTACAAGAGTCAATATGTAAATTCAAATTAATGTTTCATGGCATAAAGTGTTCTGAAATTGAAAAAACAACAACCACCATTGATCAACAGTCTCTTAATCCCACTTATAAATCTACTGTATTTTGACTGCTGTAGACTGTGTTCTGTCGAGGATTTGAAGGAGGTTCTGAAGAGTGATAATGATAGCCATAATCAGTTGTGGATCCATGATAACAACAAGTGAAGAAGAACAGTCAGCATTAGTACTGACTGAGTGGGTGTGTTGAGTATCCTAGATTTCCTGGTTTTGGATGGTAGGTTCCTTCCAGTTGCAGGTTGACACCACAGCAAAATGGGCGGGCATTAGGAATGCTTTTGTAGTTGAACACTACAAATAAGGAAGAACTGTTAGCATGAGTTTCTGGTTTCCATACTTACTGGTTTATAGGTTGACCGGTTCTATGTTTGCTGATCTCTCGTGGCATGCAGATTATTAAGAGTGAGCTCTTCGAGACGATCCGAATGAGGATAAGTGATCCAAGATCACTCAGATCATGGTAGATCAAATGAACTGATGACTCCACTCTGGACAAAAATTCATCGGTTCATTTGGTCTACCATGATCCTGGTGGTCTGGGACCTCCGATCCTAGTAAATCCTTATCATCCCAAAGGTTGACCCACCCCAAGTGACACCGGTTTCTGTCGAAACAGTTCATCGGCCAAACACCACTACACTATATCCACAAGTTCAGCTTTCATTGGAACCTAGTCATACACAATGCTCCAGCCACCATAAGGAAACCAATTTCATACAGGTAGTATCTTCCATAAGTTTCCAGTCTGATATCTGGAATGTATGGGGCAGGCATCAGGGATGCAGTGTAGAGGTCAGTTTAAGAACCTACTGAGTAGGCATGTTGGTTATTGTGAATTTCCTGGAGTTGGGTGTCTGGGTCCTCTTATGTGATCTCTTGCTAGCTTGAAAATCCTCAGGTGTGATGTCATCCAGGGTTGATATTAGAAATGGACCAGGGTGCTGTTTAGTCTGGCCCCTCTCCCTAAGAGCAATCCGGCATTACCTTTCAGGAGCATAGGCTCCCGCCATCATAGCTCTCGTGGTAACAAGGGCACGCAAGCCTCCCCGCCACGACAAGGCACAGCACCAGGGGAGGAAATAACTGTTAACTCTTCTAAAATGCTTTACAACGTATAGCCTTCCATCCTGCTATGTGGGAAGGGATGAGGTCTGTAACTGAGAAATGGTATAGTTCATAACTTGCAGAGTGGTAACCCTGTGTAGTGGTCAGCGGATAATTGCAGTATCTTTAAGAAGCCAGTGGCAAAGCAAAGAAATATATTAAGATATCGCCATTTTTTTTTGGTTTTCTCGTATTTTGCATTTGTCCTTCAGTTCGGAAATTATTTGCAAGGGAAACATAAGTGCTGTGGGAGAAAAATCAACTTTAGCCTCTTAACTCAGTTTTCCCAAGGAATGTTTTTTGTCTTAGTACGAGGTACATATGAAGAGTAAAAAAGAGGAAAGAACAACAACAATTCTTCATTCAGTTCATGGTGATATTACATTTTTTTTTACTTTACATGACCAAAATTTGTGCTAAGGGACTTGTCAGAAATTAGCAGGGGGGGAGGGGGGCTGGGAATTTTAAATTTGGGTTCGGAAATGAGGTGACCCATCCCTGCAATGGGAGTGAAATTTGCTAACCCTCCCCTTGACCTTGGCCTAAGATATCATGACCCTCCCCCTCTGGTGTAAATGATAAAATCTAGTTCTTGCAATAAACTATGGTGAGTCAGTATTATCAAAGCTCAAAATATATTTCTAATCTGCTCTTTGTAATGCAATATACATACATTTTAGATGACAGCATTTAAGCTGAGTCCGACTCTGATTCTGACAGCTGATCACTCGACTCTCCTATTTCTCCCAGGTGTTTTTTACAAAATAAAGAACTTCTTTTTTCTTCAGTGGGTGAACCTCTACATGATCAGGGACACATATTTGCATGACCCTCCCCCTTTTAACAGCCCATTTTTCACGACCCCTCCCTTTTCTGCAGTCTCAAAAAGTTGTGACCCTCCCTCTGTTTCCACCCCCCCCCCTCCCCCTGCTAATTTCCGACAAGTCCCTAAGTTATAAATTTATAATGTAAGAGAAAATAACTTCTTTTTTCTTCAGTGGGTGAACCTCTACATGATCAGGGACACATTAACAGCCCATTTTTCACGACCCCTCCCTTTTCTGCAGTCTCAAAAAGTTGTGACCCTCCCTCTGTTAGTCGATTCTTTACATCTCCCTTTATTTCCTTTATAATATTAATATCAGTGGCATAGGTTGATACTTGTATTTCTTGTTATATGTGTTCCCCCACCTGCACAACACATATTCAAAGGGATATGTTTTTCGTTACCCAGGAAACACATATCCATATTGACATGAGTTGTCCTACCTATAGAAATTAAAAAGAGTAGTTGACAACATGGAACCTTTCCTTTACATGTAAATGATTGGGTTAATTTGTCATCAATTTTAACTGCCGATTTATCATTTGAGAACATGGATATTAACCCATTTGCCCCTGAACCGCCCGTGCAGATCCAGGTCCTTTCTACCCATTGTGACATCATCAGTTCTAACGGTCAAGGACAACTTTCTTCGCTAACTTGTGCAGAGTGAAGAGATCTTTCAAACCATACCAGAATGAGCACAATTCAGTCAAGGACACCGGAGAAACAAGCAAAAAACCACGTGACATTGACCTGAAAATCTCCATGAAAATCTTGTTCCACTACCCACCTACCTTTCCTTTCAACTAATCCTGAGATCCTAAAAGTTTTCCTAAAAACTCTTCCCACCAAAATGAAGCCTACTAAATGCCCAGCAAGAGAAAAAAAAATGAGGCAAGAAAAGCGAAAAAAGAAGGGAGGAGAGAAAAAATTTTGCTTTCTGCGCATGCCCGAACTTCGCAAGCTGATATTTTGCATCTGGATCAGAAGGCCGCGAAGTGTTCGACCTGTAAACCAGTTTGTGGTAAGTTTTAGCTCTTTGTAGCACGACAGTGACCAGAAAACCACTCGACTAGCTTCAAAACGTGTTTTTCGGCAAAATCTCCAGGAGCGAATGGGTTAAAACGTCCAAGAAACATCCGTGGACATCTTCTTTTCTTAGTTGGTTGTCTAGTTTCTGTCGGGGTATACAGTCAAAGGCTTTTCCAAAGTCGACAAAGCATGAAAAGAGTAAAATTAATTTTGGTGCTTTTGTGGTTTAGATTTCACGTGCTTGTCAATAAGCGTTTTTAATGTGAAGATGCTATCAACTGTGCCATGCATTTTTCTGAAGCAACGTTGTTCAGCTTTCAAAATTCCTTTTTGAACCATGTAGTCGTACAGTCGATTGTTGAGGATTGATTGATAAAGATCTTGTCTAGCGCAGAGAGTAAAGTGATACCTGGGTAATTTTCGACTTTGGATCAATCATCCTTCTTGTGAATAGGTACAATGAGGCCAAAACTCCAAAGAGCAGGGTATTTGCCAGTATCTAAGATTCGATTAAATAAATTTACTAAATGCCCTTTAATGGCTTCCTTTCTGATTCTTATTACTTCCTTTAATATATTATCGATAACTGGAGATTTGTTTGCCTTCAGTTTGTTAATAGCAGCTTTGAACTCTTCATCAGTTATTGGATAATCAATTGGGCCTTCCACTCTTTCGTTACTGTGGGTTTCCACATTCGTCTCCAGATCTAGTATATTATTGAGAGGGGTCGCATTCTGTTGCTAGTGGTAATAATAAAACTGTTCCGTACTCACTGCTTCAGCTCCATGTGTTTTTCTTTTTCCTAAGTTAAAGATTTTTCCTACATGTATTTGTTGCCAGGTGTCTTCGGAGTTCTGCATATCGATGTTAGACATGCCTTTGCTGACAGACTCACATTTCTTCCGTCTACAAGTTTGTTTGAACCTCTTCTTTTTGTCTGGCAGTAGTTGTCTCAGTTCTGAATTATTAATGTTATGAGAAATTTTCTCCCTAAGGGATTGCAAGTTTTCTTTCTATCTTTCGAATTCCTGATCGAACCATTTTATTTGTGATTTGCATTTAATTTTGCTGCCTCTCGCTTTCCATCCGGCTTCTTTTCATGCTTCCATCAAAGTTTCACTTAGTAATTCAGACGCAGTATCGATGCTATCATGTTTGACAGCTGCCACTAACCTGGATTGAACTGTTTATATCAATAGTGATATGTCTTCTCCTACCAGTCCCACCGGGAAACACATGCTGGGCTACTTTCTGTTATTCTCCTGCTACCTATAATCTTTTTGATAACCCTGTGTAAGAGAAATAAAATGTGCAAGCTGGGAAGCTGAATAAACTTTTAGGTTTTCTAGTTAGCTTTCAATTCCAAGTAAAGTAGGTATGTAAACAGTTGAAAGTAAGGAAAAGGAATAGATAAATGAATGAATTAATTAAATTGATAAAGGATACACCAAATGAAAATATGGGGAACTCTTGGTTGGCACGGGTCTAGTTGTGCGAAAGTGAGGCTAGTGAGGCCTCAAGAGTTTTGTTCTGCCTTCACATCTTAACGATTGAGTCGATCTATATGGTTTAAGTCGAGATATGATGTGTTTAAGAGCCATCAAAGAGGAGATTTAACCCCAGCAGAAATGAAAGTTGATTATCTTCCCTTTGCCAAGGATCTTTACTAAGAATGTAATGGATTCAAGCATTTTAGCGCGGCAAATGGAAGCACTTTATTAGAATGGAGTTAAGAGAACAAAAGTGTGCTCACTTCACTTCATAAGAACAGATTCACGAAACTGTTTGAACAGGAGAATTCCTGAGGGATGGTTCTGTTTCAAGCTCACTTTGTCCATTCTATTACCGAGGAAAGGTAAAGATTCTCGAGAATGAGTGAATCTGCCGTTACAACTTATCAAACCTTGGAGCTCTCATGAACACTGCTATGCATGAAATGTTTACAATGAGGCCGAATGTTTAAACAGTCTTCACAATCCTGTGTTCAAGAGTTTGAGCAGTGCAATGAAAGTAGCAATTTTTGGAAAACCCCTGTTAGTTTATCTTGAAACCCTTCAACAAGTTGCTAAAATAGATTGCGCGAAAGGGCAAATACAATGCTTGAATACTTGCACGCTCGATCCCTTGCAGAACCTTTGTCCTTTTTCTTAGTTTGCAACTGTTCCTCTGTCAGTTTTTTCAGTGCAAAGGACTGTTCTTAAAACATGTTGCTTTCTTCTGGTGCTTACATGTACACTGCTTCATAGGCCAGGCTCGTAGGATTAACAGGTGATTGTTAATGTTGTATTTCACTCTCACTCATCACTAATGGTATATTAAAATGCAGTTAGCGCTATTTCCAGGTGTTAAATCTTAAAGACCTTAAAGTCGACAGCACATGCTCCCATTCCCGAGAATGTTCAGTAAGAGACCAAGCAAACATCATGGAACAGCACTATCTCTTGCCAAAGTTCTTTCATTCAAATACTTTCATGAGTCCTATCTTCTTACGCAAGTGAAGCGAGCAAACTTGCATTTTCACTGTAAAGTGCTTTCTATTACCACGCCAAATCACATGAATCCCTAACTTACTTTGTGAAAAGATCTCGGGAAAGTAAAGGTAGTTCCAGCTAGAGTAAAATCTCCTTCTTGGTGGCGCTCAGGCACGCAACAACTCGAAGCAAACTATATCCATCAACTCAATTGCTAAGACGAGCAGTCAAAACAAAACTCTTGAGGCCTCACTAGCCTCGCTTTCGCAAAACTAGAGTAGACCTGGGATGGCCGAGAGGTCCGCCATAAAATTTGCATTTGGTGCATTGAGTAACTGAATAACAGAAAACAAAAACAAAGAGCACACAAACCCACCCATCCCCACCCCCTTCCCCTCAGCCGAAAAGGAAAAAGGTCCAGTTTACCAGAGATTACCACAAATGGGCGATTCCAGAAAATATCCATACCATACCACGGACGGCTTCTAGGATTTCCGAAGGGGAGGGGGGGTTCACGATTATGGAATTCTGAGGGCATGGGGGGGTGGTATTTACGATTGGATATCCGAAGGTACTGGTGAATTCCACAGGTGGGATTTCTGGAGTAGAAAGTGTAGAGTGAGTTCCTTGAAAACGGTATTGTTGTGGACTTTTGTAGTTCGTAAATAATCCACGAACGTATGACCACGGAAGCAGAAGACAAGGATCGATAGATCAGACACGTGTTTACGCTCATAACTTATACAAGTGAACAGTAAAACGTGGGTTTCACATTTACCTTGATGAATTTCTTGTCACATGAATAAATCTTACCGCTTGCAAATTTCTTGTTACTCCCGTCCGATGAACGATAAAAAACTCGCACCAGTCCCTCGCTTCCAAGGAACGCCTGGAAGCATTCGGACCGTCGGAGGGCAATCGGAGGAAGACTCGGGAGAACGAGATCTGTTGTTTGTGGGCTAAACATTGTGAAGGAATAATTTGAAGGGTTTAGAGAAGGGAATGTCCTCGGAAAATGTAAGAAATCCCTTAATTGCCCCCAAAATAAACAAGTCTCATGATTTTCCTTATACTCGACCTAATCTTTTATCATGATACATTTCATGTACACTACATGAGACATATCGGTTGAGAACACTTTTCGTGAACACTACATGACGTATAAAAGGACGCAACAAGACTCGACGGTATATTTGACCGCTGAAAGATTTTAACTGTCTGAATTTGAGCTATTCTGCTTTGTAAACGTCAAAACAGCACAAGAAAATAAAAGGAGGTAAAACTGCCGTAAATGGTGTTTATTATTATAGCCAAATTCGGACTTAAAAAGAAGTTTTCACAGCCTGGTCACTAGCGGTAGGTTTTTCTTGTCGCTGAAGAGTAAAGCTTGTCGCCTAGCGCCGCTAGATCACAGCCCTGAGGAGGCATAGATTCATGTTCGTTTGTTCATATAGGCGTTGCTAAGTCGAAAATGTACTTCCCAAAAAAAACGGAAATTCTGAAGGGGAGGGGGGGTTCACGATTATGGAATTCTGAGGGCATGGGGGGGTAACGCATTTTGGAATTTCCGAAGGCAAGGGGGGTTTAAAACATGGAAGCCGTCCGTGGTATGGTATGGATATTTTCTGGAATCGCCCAATGAAGTGGGATTACCTGTAATGTGATTATCCAGAGATTGGCAAGATGGAATTGCACAGGACATGTGTGTGATTTAGTCGTATCGTGGTACAACACTCTCACATAGATGGCTAACTTTCCAGATCTGCTTCTTTGTCTAAGTTGTATTTAGCTATTTGTCTGTAATGCAAGCCTTGAATAAAAGCTTGTATAAACACGCAGGCCAGTGTACTAAGGGAAGGATATATGAAGACTGAGAGGCATCAACTTTACAAAAACTCCATGATATTGCTGTAAGCACTAGAAGTACCTAGAAGTATCCAGGTTTAGCCTCTAGATTTCACAATTTTCTGGGGAAGGATGCCCCGAGATCTCCCCAACAAACTCGCATTCATTTTCAAGCCCCTCAGTTAACAACATGCAACACTCTCCCTGAAAATTGTATTTGTTTGCAAGTTGCTTCATAAACCATCCTCACATTAACTAAAAAAACTGGATAAAAGGTATGGACACTTTCTCTAAACCAAAAAGTTTTTTTTAAATGCTGGAAAATGCGTTTAGGTTATGAAATGTGGGAATCAACCAAGTGACATAAACAGAATTAAAAAAAATTCATTTCGACCATGAAAGGAAAGGCCTATAAAGTATCTTATTTACAATCCTCTCCTCGGATAACATAACAGCCTTTCTCTTAAATAATCTACGAGGCAATTCTTAAACTGCCCATCCTCACTCCCTGGATTTTGACTGGAGTTTTGCTCCACACAATGGATAATTTGACGCAAAATGAGGAATGCCCAGTCAGGCATTTGACTTTTATGTCAAAATTCTGGTCAGTGTTGTGAGCAAAAAGATTTTGTAATTCTATCTGCATTCAGCATGTGCAGCACATTGCTCCAATATTCAATGTTTGTTGGAACATTTGAGAGCCTTTTAAAAAGCCTGTTAAATGTGGGATTTCTGGAATGAGAAATTTTAATGAACAAACCACTGTAAAACAGCTTTCTGAGACTTAAGATATTTTGGCTGTGTTTAGCAGGATGTTCACATTTTGAATAAACAGTTTGATGCATGGGAAAATTATTGAATGGCCACTCGGTAGAGGATTTGACGCTTTCTGATGTGCTAGCTGGTTGGGTATTTGACCATGTACACTGTCAACATACTGGGCAATTTGACAAAAAATAAATAAAAAATGTCTTGAAAATGCTCGGGAGGTGATGGGCAGTTTTGGAATTGACTGGTACAAAACATAACCGAAACTCATTTTACATCACTGATGAAGTTTGTGTGATTCAAACGAAAAAAAAAAATGTTTCAAACTGTTTTCCCCTGAATTTTGAACGTATTTGTTAAATATCTTTTCCTATTTAACTGTGTTTAAGCAAGGCACATTAATAATGTAAAATCCGAATTTCTTACGTAAAAAACGAATGTTCTGTCATTGCTTGCGGTTGACAGTTCCTGTATTATTTTGACAAGGTAGTAGATTCATCTTTTTTTGAACACCTGAGAATATAGATATTTCCTTACGTCTCTTGTTGGCAAAAAAACCGAACTCATCCAGCATGGGGTGACCCTATTTGGTGGAATAGCAGACTGATGGAACGGAATGACAGAATATTCTAAAATACAGAATATACGGGATACTCTTAAACACAGAATTTACAGAACATTCTGTATTTGATTTGAACAAGACTGACAAAAAAGCAGAGGCAAAGAATACACGGTTGTTTTGAAATCATGTTAAAAATTTTTCCATACACTATAGACCTCTGATATGACGGTTTTGAAATTCATCTTGATGAGAAAACAGGGCTTGACGTTGTGACCTGTGGGGTCGCCAATGCAACCAGCTTTTACTCAGTAGCGACCAAATTTTCACCCCTGGTCGCCAGCCTGGCCTCCAAGATAGGTGACTTTCTTCTTTGGGAAAACGAACACTAATGATAATCCATTATCCTTAACAAAACTAACGAATAGCTAATGATTTTTCAGGGTTTTTCTATCGCTATAAAGTTTTACCCAAATGCTATGAACTAATGGTTGGTCCACACCCTCTAACGATTTGTCTAAACGCTTCAACGATTTCTACACTCTAACGGATTATTCTTAAGATTTCCTGAACCTTAAGCTTGCATACCTGTTTGAGGAGATTTAGGCCCGGTTCAGACGCCGAACTTTTCATGAGCCGAACCTAATTCGAATTAAGACCGACCCAAATTATTTAGACCGGCTAAAGTGATTCAGACGCCGATCTTAATTCCAGCCGAACTAAATTCAGAAGGCGAAAAATGCGCATTTCGGTCAAACTGCTTACAAAATACGTTATAAGAATTTCTGCATTTGGTTCGGTACATGAAAAGTTTGGCGTCTGAATCAAAGGCGTTCCAAAGTCGATCCAAAGGCGAAATTCCCGGCCGGGCTAGGCGAAAAGAACGGCTGAGCCGTTCCAAATTGAAACAGGCGTTCCTAATTGATTCAGACGCCGAACTTTTCATGTACTTAATTCAATGTATTAGGTTCGGCTCATGAAAAGTACGGCGTCTGAACCGGGCCTTACGCTTGAGTACGGGCTCATTTTCCCGAACAACGGCTGGTAATTGAGCCTCGAGCGAAACCCATTCGAAAGAAAGTTCAAGTTCAAGTCTAAAGCATTCTTTTTCTGTTAAGGCTAAGTAAAAGATGTTAAGTTTATTGTATTCCATTAATTCTTAAATATAATTTTGGCGACCAAAAATGAAAACTTGGGGGCCAGCTGGCCCCAGGATTATTTTTTAAAAGTCGATCACTGGAAAAGGGTCTTGTATGAGAATCTAATGTCGGATAATTTTCATAAAACGGCTGTTCTGAAAGCAAAAAAAAAGATTTGTAAACTCAAGCTTCACAGCAAAGGATTGTACTAACAATAAATGGGGGGCACACTTGTGGCTAAATTTGTCCGGTCGCTTGCTTTAGATTTTCTAGACATTTGTCCGCAATTTTTCATAGGAAATTTAAGTCGGCAGGAAGTTTAAACATTTGGTTGTTTCTCAAAAAAGAAATAAGCACCCTCCCGAGTTAGCATAAGGTTCAAGTCAGTAGTGAGGGTTCGAGTTATGGGAGTCGAAATGTTTATCCTTTTTAAAAGATTTTCCTCTTATCTTGGGTTTTCAGAATATTCCGTATATTCCGTGTTTTATTTTACAGTGTTTTAGTATATAATTTGCGTATTTTAGAATATTCCGTGTATTCCACCATTCCGTCAGCACGCCGGTCACTCCCCAGCATGAGCAGCGTGTCATGGAGACCGTTGAATAAAAGGCAAAAATTATCCCAAAGATTCCCTCCAGTCTTATAAGTATATCCGAGGCTGTGCAGTAGATTAATTAAGGCTATATGGTAGCATTATATACTACTAAGGTAAGCATAATAAGGGTCATAGTCGTGACGAAAAGCTCATATTTTATAACTGACCTCAGTTGGTAACACGCATGGAGTTGAATTTCCCGTCACCGTCCAGTATCTGTTAAAAACAAATTACATTATCGCAACATTTAAGACTCACAACATCCATCAAAATACTTTCAAAACGTTGGGCAGTATATTCCGTGTATAGTTCTTACCGTTTGGAGCTGAAAAAAGCCAAGCGCTGTCGATGAACGATCCATGCGTTGTACGTTTCAAGAAACTGGAAAATAAAATGAATCACGCGCGGCTGCTCAGCTACGATGCACGTGCATGCACGAGATCGAGGCAACGTAACGGTGCTTAGTCCCCAGGCTCTCTTAGTGTGCAGTAGGTAATCGCCTCGTGTTAGCAGTCAGGGCCGGGTCTCCTTGCTACAGCCAACTTGAGTTGAGCGCCGCCTCTGCAAATTGCTGTCGACTCCCCGGATGGGGATTTTGCGCGTCCTTCGATGCAAGACATCATAACTTATTTGATGCGTGCCAATCAACACAAGCCTTGAACAAAACCCGAGTAGTATGTACGTCCACTGTCTCTAAATGATAAAATTTATTTCTACTTATGGGCGTCTCAAACTCACTATGTGCGCACATGTTAAAAATAAATGCATCTGGAAATAATTGCGTAACGTAGCGGTTTATAGGGTTTGTATCGCCTTAATCTTAAGGTACGGTAAAACAGGCAACAAACAACGTGCAACTTGGGGTTTTACAACATTGCAGCATAACGAGTTGAAAAGCGGTGTTGCGCATTTTACCACCCACATAAAACCCGTCTTGCAACAGATCAGTTTGTTTTTTTTAAAACAGGTTTAAACGTGGGTAGTAGAACGCCCGAGCTATTCAACTCGTTAAATGGTCTATTCCCTTTTTTGTAGTCAAAAAAGTGATTGAACATTATTCCAAGTCTTATTTTGACAGAGACAAAACGAAGAAAAAAATTGTTTTTTTTTACCAAAATCATGGGTTAATCCCTTCGGGAAAATGTGATTTTTGGGACTCTGAAAAATTCTCTTGTTTACAGTGTAAAAAGGTTTCTTTATTATCTAGATTTTGATTTCCAAACATCGAATGGTCCACATGACCCTCTTATCTAAATTACCTTAGAGGTAATTTAGAATGGCGACAACGCGAACTACATGGAGAAACACAGATAATTTATATCGCTTAGAGAAATCCAAGGGGGCAGTTAGCAATAATCGAAATCATCGAAAATTGTAAAGACCGGTTATCTAGTTTTTTTTTCCTCATCATGTTATGGTCCATTTTCAGTCAGTAAACAGACAATCACAATGCAATCACCAACATCGACCAACTCTGTAGAGACACAGGATGCCTTTCAAACGACCTCCCTGCTTTGTTGCAGGATCGCGATGGGTGGCGTGATAGGGTCATGAATGCCCGAGCTAGCTCGACGTGATGATGATGATGATGATGACAGAGACAAAAGTAGCCGCCAGGAAAATTCGAAATCTCAATAGAACGTCCAAGTTTTGTCTAGAGGGCGCTGAATATTTACAGTACACAATAGAGACAATAGTGTTAGATCGAAAGTAATACGTTAATCAGCTTAAGATTAAACGGTCATAATTGCAAGATCGACAGACATAGTTTTCTTTTAAGGTGAAAAATTTTTGATACCTGAGGAAAAGCGTAAAAAGAGGAAACAAACAACACATGTTGTGTAACGCATTTTACTGAGAATATTCCAGTGCATTGTAATTGTCCGCATGCTTCTTAATTAAAACACCTGTTCACCATTTCAATGCATGTTAATATTTTTTAACTTGATATTGCGCAAATTAACATATATCAAATGATCAAATGCGCATGATCTTGCCCCCTCCAAACTTTAACACTATCATTGTTTCTAATTTCTACTGGGTATTACAGTCATCTCAAAAGAAATCGAAGACGATGGTTACGCAAAAGTTTTGGGGGGTAGACAAAGTGTATTATGGTCTCAGTGAAAATGGTGAATAAAGAATTGTTTCTGTTCACTCGGTAAAGATCTAACTTTCCTCTAAGTAACGGGATAATGTTCCTTTCTTGCACATATCGACAGGGTTGTGCGTTCAAATACCAGCTTTGCGCCTTCTACCCTTTGTAAGGTACTTCCGTGAGTTTCTATCTTGAAAGCATGTTCATAGTGTTTACGCGCATGTTTTTTATGCAGGCTGCCGCTGCCTCTTGGACTCGCTCATCCGTCGATCCTGTTAATGTCAATAACGTCTGTTGAAAAAAGAGAGAAAGAAATAAAAAAAATCACTTAAACTACAGTGTATAACAGCTTTGTGTTGCAATCATCACGTCCACTTTCTTTTACACTACGTGCCCTTACAGAACTTTCCGGCATTCCCGTTAGTAAGTTAACATCACAGTTAACGTCAAACTTTTTTTTCGATCAAACGTACATATTTTAACTTTTCGTTTCAAGCAAGTCACGTTACCTTCAGAGAATCATGCTGGTGAATAAAGTAACAGTTGTACTGGTCACGTGATAGTTTTTCTAGCGCCCAGGCGACCGCTCGTTTGACGGCCACGTCAGAGGAACGTTTGAGGCTGTCCGCCAGGGGAACGATCACTGGTGAGAATGACTTGATGTTCTTTTCCAGTCCACTGCATCTAAATTAGAGTTGTCACATATTTCGTTTAAAAGATGAAAACGAGCATATAACGACTGCATAACTTATTTATAAATACAAGAAAGATTGGCTTACGTTGCAATCGCCTCTGCGACCCATCTCTTTAGCTCTTCATCTTCCTACGCATAAGAAAAAATAGAGATTTTTCAAGACCCATGCTATCTTGTCATAAAATCTTACGATGCCTACTCTTTGCTACAAAAATCTCTACAACAAGGACACCATTTCTGTTAAAACTAAATTGGTACGTAGGGGTGAAAAAGGTAAAAACCGACATAAAAAGATAAGCGGCGATCCGATACTCAGTTGCTTGTTGAAGAAAAGATAAGCTAACTAACTATTACCGCACGTTGTTCAAGGTGCAAACTACTTTTGTCATGAAATTCGCAGAATACGATAAGATACATTTTGAAGGTTTAGGACAATGTCAAATAAATCACCAAAGGAAGGAATTTATATGACAATGTACGTTGAAAAAAATAAAATTAAACTCGCCAAGCATGGACTTGTTCAACAGTTAGTACGGCCTTCAGCAACTTATCAGTGGCACACGCTCAAGGTACGGCACAGCATACTATCGTGACATGCGAAGTAATGACCGCACACTATTGGCGAATAAGATTGTGATGTTTAATTTTCTTTTGATATGTTAAGCCAGATAAGAGGTAACTCATTCGGTCGTATTACCGTATTGACCAGGTCAATAAGCAGCGGTACCACCTCATAGTCAGTCAGGATAGAGAGGTTCTCTCGGTCTTTGCCGATGTTGGTTATTGCTTTATTGGCACATATCAGCACCTGTATACAAAACATAAGGATAAACATTTTGTTTGACCTGGTAGCTGGCGGAATTTCTATGTTCATCGCAATGATAAATATAATAATTTTTAAATTTTACTATTTACAGATTCAAGAATATGAAATATTAAAATATATACCCTATGTACATTCTTCTTGTGTACGAAAGAGAATTATCGTAAAATGACTATCTAAAGACTACTAATAAAACAATTATAAAAAGCATAAAAAAGTTAATAAAAAAAAAACTATTTAAAAATAATACTTTAATATTATCCACTCCAGTTATGGGGCTTTTCAGGGATAATAAAACAAATAATTGAAATGGAACATAACATTTTTAAGAATCCCACTCAACTGGTAGGAGACAAACCAGTTGGTTATTTTACAAGCGTGGCTGAGGATTTGAACTCGGGACTACCGTGAACAAATCCAGCTAGCGGTCAGAGCGGGACTTGAACTCGGGGCTTTCGAATGGCCGTTTTTATGCTAGAGACGTCAAAGTCGTCTGAGACGTTAAAGTCGTCTTAAGACGACTTTAACGTCTAGTATAAAAACGGTAAATAAGGCAGACGAATTTAACGTCTGACGGCTTTAACGTCTTCTGTTAAGTGCGTCCGAACGACGCACTTAACAGACGACTTTAACGTCTGAGAAGTTAAAGTCGTCTGGTATAAAGACGGGACGTCGTAAACTAGGACTCATTTATGCTCGACTCGTCCAGAGAAGTTCATTTTTGGTGCCGCTTTAACTCGTGTCCAGTGTCTTCCGAGAGTAAGCCTAGTCCTTTTTTTCAGAAAAATCTACTTTTTTAAATAAGGTCGTCTACTTTTGGACGTCCCGTTTTTACACCAGACGACTTTAACGTCTCAAACGTTAAATGCGTCTAGACGACTTTAACGTCTCTAGCATAAAAACGGCCAATTACAAGTCCAGCGCTTTAACCGCTCGGCCACGCTCCTTCGGCAAAGTGTTTTCCCACTCTAGGCTTCAATAAATTGGGTCCAATGCTTGTATAGAGTGTTTTCACATGACGTCATGGCGGCCATATTGGTGTCCCAAAACAATGAAACGGCGGCCATGTTTGTGTCCCAAACAAATCCTGTGGGAGTTGAACTCTTTTCTTATGCAAACGCTTTCTTTTGTTCCAATAAATTTGCATAGATGCTGGACACGTAAGTGAAAACACTCTATAAGTAGTTTATTTAACAATTATTCCTCGAGCCCGAATGGGCTCTGAGTCGGCCGAATGGGCTACTGACTTAGAGGCCAAGAGGGCGAGAGGAATAATTATTTTAGTAAAATCCAACTAGTTGGTAAAAATATCGAGACAAAACAACTTCAGCTAGCAAAACGAGATTCAGCCGCCATTGTTTTGGTTTTGAAAGCCGACGCTTTTCGCTACTAGTGGGCTATAACATATAGCCTAGTAGTAGCTCATCCAGTCAGAACGCAGCCTTGATAACAGACCACTAGTTGGATTTTGATAGACTCCATTGTTTACAAAAGGTCAGGTGATGTCGACTGACCTGCTTGTTATCAGACCGAAGAAGACTGGTAATCAGTTCCAGACCTCCAACAAATGATCGCACCACATCAGCAGACTCCTGGAAGGATAAAGTAAAAGAAACAAGTCTCAGCCTGTTTCAGGCCCTTAGATAGTGTCCGGCAGCGCCAAAAAAATCAGAATGAATTTTAACCATCATAGTTATTATATGAGTTCAATAGGACACTACAAGCGAACGCACTCACTAACTTAATTTCATGAAAAAACTTTTCTTACCTCTACGTCCACAACACACTCACTAATGGCTTCAGCAGCACCAGCGACAACCTACAATATAACATGTGTTAGAACGAAGACAATGACGGCTGTAAAAGCACTAATGAAGATAAATGAGAGGATGAAAATAGCCAAAATGTCATCGCTAGTGACATTGATGACGATGGCCATGATATTAATGAAAATGATGATGGTGATAGTACATAAAAATGCTGCTTAAATCAAGGTACTAATGATAATCACGTGATGATGATAGTGATGATGTCCGTGATGATGATGATCACTACGACAATAATGATATAAATAACGCGAATGATGACGGGGATGATGATGACGATGATGATGACGATAATGATGACGATAATGACGACGATAATGATCACGATGATGACGATGATGATAACGACATCGACGACGACGACGACGACGATGATGATGATGATGATGATGATGATGATAAAGGATTATGGTAATGGCGTTGGATAAGACGTCGATCAGGTAATGATGATAATACTGAATGCTTTGAAATCCTTTTCATACCTCTGGATCGGGAAATTTCAACAAAGACCAAAGAAGTCTTAATCCATCTGTACTCAGTACCGAACTATAAAAGAAAATAGTAATAAAAATTAAAAAAAAAAACTAAATACAGACTATCTCCAGGCGACTTGGTGTTAGCCGCATATAACTGGTTAAGCTGTAACAAAAAAAGACGAGTCATCTGCAACGAAACTGTCCCTTCAAGAGTGCGACATACTCCAAATAGACTGAGGGCATGCTCCGTACTGTAAAATTTCTAAGTTCACGCGCTTGTGTAAACAGCGTCAATTTTAAATGGTCGACGACTTAAAAGAAGCAGCAATTAGCTATTCATAGCTCATATTGGTTAATATACGATCCCCACAACTCTTTGGGCTGAAAGAACTGCTGAACACTGGTCGTCCTAAACAACTGATTTCATAAAAACAGCTGTTTCCCATCTAAAAGTCATTCACTCATTCATTCATCGATTCTTTTATTCATTTATTTACCCATTGACCACGTAAACATAGAGCAACAATATACAAGAAATTAATAATGCTTTATTAAAATAGATAATAGACGCTCAACTACAAAACTATTTACAAAATAAAAACTAAATTTACAAAATTTGCATTCGGTCAAAATAATTCATGATAAAAAAGAGACTATTTCCGAAAATCGCATTTTTCCAAAGGGGTTAACCTATGCTTTTGGTTAAAAAAAGGAGTTTGTTATTTGTTTTCCGTCAAAATAAGACTACAAATAATATTTAATAATGTTCTACATAAAAAATGAAACCTTTTTTGGCCATAAAAACTACAATCTTTCAAAGTCCCAAAAATCGATTTTTTGCAAATCGATTTTTTGCCCATGCCTTTAGTCAAAAAATGTATTTTTCCTTTTTTTGTTTTCGGTCAAAATAAGATTACAAATAATGTTTAAGAATGTTCTAGATAGAAAAAAAACCTTTTATGGCCATAAAAACTTCAATCTCTCAAAGTCCCAAAAAACGCATTTTTCCAAAGGGGTTAACCCATGCTCTTGGTCAAAAAATGTAATATTTTCTTTATTTGTTTTCCGCCAAAATAAGACTAGAAATAATGTTTAATAATCTGCTAGGTAGAAAAGAAACCTTTTTTGGTCATAAAAACTTCACTCTTTCAAAGTCCCAAACATCGCATTTCTTCAAAGGGGTTAACCGATGCTTTGGTCAAAAACTGTAATTTTTTTCTCTGTTTGTTTTCCCTCAAAATAAGACTAGAAATAATGTTTAATAATGTTCTAGATAGAAAAGAAACCTTTTTTGGCCATAAAAAATTTAGTCTTTCAAAGTCCCAGAAATCGCATTTTTCCAAAGGGGTTAACCCACGCTTTTGATCAAAAAATGTAATTTTTTTCTTCATTTATTTTCCCTCAAACTAAGACTAGAAATAATGTTCAATAATGTTCTAGATAGAAAAGAACCCTTTTCTGGCAATAAAAAATTTAGTCTTCCAAAGACGCAAAATCGCATTTTTTCCAAGGGGTTAACCCATGCTTTTGGTCAGAAAATGTAATTTTTTTCTTTATTTGTTTTCCCTCAAGGTAAGACTAGAAATAATGTTTAATAATGTTCTAGATAGAAAAGAAACCTTTTTTGGCCATAAAAAATTTAGTCTTTCAAAGACCCCAAAATCGCATTTTTCCAAAGGGGTTAACCCATGCTTTTGGTCAAAAACTGTAATTTTTTTCTTTATTTGTTTTCCCTCAAAATAAGACTAGAAATAATGTTTAATAATGTTCTAGATAGAAAAGAACCCTTTTTTGGCCATAAAAAATTTAGTCTTTCAAAGTCCCAAAAATCGCATTTTTCCAAAGGGGTTAACCCATGCTTTTGATCAAAAAATGTAATTTTTTTCTTTTTTTTTTTGTTTTCCCTGAAAATAAGACAAGAAATAATGTTTAACAATGTTCTAGATAGAAAAGAAACCCTTTTTGGCCATAAAAACTTCACTCTTTCAAAGTCCCAAACATCGCATTTTTCAAAGGGGTTAACCCATGCTTTGGTCAAAAACTGTAATTTTTTTCTTTATTTGTTTTCCGTCGAAATAAGACTAGAAATAATGTTCAATAATGTTCTAGATAGAAAAGAAACCTTTTTTGGCAATAAAAACTTCAATCTTTCAAAGTCCCAAAAATAGCATTTTTCCAAAGGAGTTTAGCCCATGCTTTTGGTCAAAAACTGTAATTTTTTTCTTTTTTTTTGTTTTCCCTGAAAATAAGACAAGAAATAATGTTTAATACCGTTCTAGGTAGAAAAGAAACCTTTTTTGCCCATAAAAAATTTCAGTCTTTCAAAGTCCCAAAAATAGCATTTTTCCAAAGGAGTTTAGCCCATGCTTTTGGTCAAGAACTGTAATTTTTTTCTTTATTTGTTTTCCGTCGCTTAAAATAAGTGTAGAAATAATCTTTACTGACTTTGTAAAGAAAAATTGAGACTTTTTTTGACTAAAAAAAAAGCGAATTTATTTAAGTCCCAAAAATTGCCTTTTTTTGAAGGGGTTAACCCATGGTGTTGGTCAAAATATGCAATTTTTCTTTATTTGTTTTTTGGTCAAAACAAGACTAGAAATATCGTTAATAATGTTCTAGATAAAAAAGAAATCCTTTATGACTATTAAAAAGAAGTTTTTCAAAATCCCTAAAATCGTATTTTTCGCAAAGGATTTACCCATGCTGTTGGTCAAAAAATGCAATTTTTTTCTTTATTTGTTTCCTGTCAAAAAAAGTATGAAAAAATGTGTGGTATCAAAGTTGACAGAAACCATGATTTCCTTTTATGATTTCTATTTTGGATTATTCTGGAAACTTGTTTCTTGTTTATTTTAGTTTGTTTTAAAAGGAATCCAATGAAGGGATTCATTTTCAGGATAATGCCATTGTATTGTTTGTTTCAATAGCTTTTTTTCTTGTTTTTATTCTTAAAAAAGGAATGAAAAATTTCAACGAGGAAATGCGATAGCTTAACAAGCAGGCTGCAAATGAATTATTTCAAAAATAAATAACTTACCCGACCTACTTATTTACACAACTGGTGCACTGTTTTAAAAAGGCATTTGAACGTAACTTTTTAAGCAAGTAAAAGTCACGGTACCATATCACTGCGCTTTTCACAAACATGCGAACTCTAAAGTTCAAAAGCCGCCTTCAGAATAGAGTTTTTCGCTGCCGTCAATCATAATTACGATCAGAAGCAACGAACCTTGAAAAACAGAAACATACAAAACGGATCAAAATCCACCAATCACAAATCAGAAACCATGACCTTTTGAACCTTTTAAAGTAAAGTTTTGTTTCTTAAGAGGTCCGTTAAGATGATTGACGGCAGCGAAAAACGCAATCGTCAGTTGGGTTTTGAACTTCAGAATTCTCATGTTTGTGAAAAGCGCTGTAATATCCGATTGTTTTGTTTGACTACTTCTCCAACTTTAAGGTGGATTTCCGCCGTCACGTAACTTTGAAGTGCAAAAGCAAAATAGAGGGGGTGCGTAAACGTAAAATTTGCTTCAACCAATAAGAAGCACTACTCAGATCTGGGTAGTGACGCGTTATCAGTATGGAATCTCAGACGTCATTTCCCGGGGAAACCAGGGGTGGCGTCACCACATTTCAGCTGTTTTCACAGGCTGCACTTTCACGTTTACGCGTGACCTTTCATATTGTGTTTTTGGTTTATTTACAGCCGTAAAATGTTACGCGCACGTACCTTATAGTCAAGTAACGTTGGAAACCCACCCTGTGGTATTAGAGGAGAGATGTTTAAATAGTCGTATAAACATAACAACTTTCTTTAATTTTCCAGACATGTTTCGACGGTACATCCGTCATCTTCAGTGTTACATATTTTGAAATCGCCGTTGAATTTAAAGCGCGCGCGATCTTACAAAGTTCGTTACATTGCGTTGTCAATATTGCGTACTAAAACAAAAAATTAAATGAGTGACGCTTGGTTCTTTACAGGGAGAAAGTCAGGTTAATGTGTTTCACCTGCTGGTTGAGATCGGGCTTCTCCCATTTTATAAACATGGATTCCTTAAGCTTCACTTGGTACTTAGTGGCTGCTGAGTCCAGGAACCAACGGCGATTTCAAAATATGTAACACTGAAGATGACGGATGTACCGTCGAAACATGTCTGGAAAATTAAAGAAATTTGTTATGTTTGTTATGTTTGTTATACGACTATCTATATTGTTGCTGCTATCTAGACCTTTTGAGAGATGTTTAAAAATTCACAGTTCTTCTTGGGTAACAATGTCGCACCGTCTTCTCAACTAATCAGAAAGTCTCATTTTATCGCCACTTAGTTATTGGTGTTTCCCAGTCCCTGTCGCCAGCTTCCTGTGATTGCATCGGTTTATTTTTACTGTTTGAACTATTTTTAACGGCTGGAAAATATCGCGGCAATATCGTAATCAACAGAAACCAAATCCAATCTACACTTTTTCCTGCGTTGTAAGCCGGCTTCTTCTATGTGCTATGAGCTCTGAATGACTGATTGGTTGCATGGTTAACTGGAAAACATTCTTTTCAATCCTGGCAGGAGCTCCTGATCTTGGGAAAAGCAAATTTGAAAAAAATATTTCAGGGACGCAGAAAAATTTATCTACTGTGCGGCGGATCTTCTACCCGTCCCTTTCGCAGGCGTAACGGGTCTCCCAATAGAAGGGCTGCGCGAGCCAGCGGGACTGTTATCGGCTTTCCTAGCCACAGCGGGTGACGCGCGAGATTTTGAAGCAACCCGTGGAGATGAGGAACCGGCCTTACTTCCGGTTCCCGTCCCTGTTTTGGTTCCAGTCTTAGTTGTGGTCCCTGTACCGGAAGTGCTGGTAGATGACCTTCGTTTCCTGTTTGCCTTGGATTCGTCCAGTTTTACGTCTTTACCGACCACTAAATTGTTTGTCGTCACAAAGTTGATCATCCATTCTGGCATCTCGCCATTGTTTGTTTTCTGTTTCTGTTTTTTCTCCTGTTTTGGTGAAGTTCTTTTGCCGGCGCTGATGTTCAAGGGGTCTGGCTTGTCTGTGTTTGTGGAGGGTGGAGAAGGGGTGCCAGGGCTGAAAAACTTAACAAGACACAAATATTACAATAAATTTGAATAAAGAATACACGGTTGGTCGATAAAACAATGAGTTGTACATAAGAAAACCAAAATTTAGTGACCCACTCTATGTGCCTTTAAATTTAATTTTCAGCGACCTCTTGTTCACCTTAACTTACATACCACTAACAGTCATCATATTATTCAATACATCGAACACTTTTTAATTGAAACTATACAATTCATCTCATCCGACCTCACTCTTTCCGCCGTTTTATTTTTCCTGGAAAAAGGGATGAAATCAGCCCAAGGGAATATGTGAAGGAATGAATTGCGAGAAGTGAGGTTACATACCTCAACCGAAGGTACTCGTGGCGATCTTTCACCGCTGCTTCCACTTTCAGAACGAAATCTGCCTGAAGGAGAAACAGCATTCTGTCCGAACCGTGGACTCCCAGACCGGCCCATAAAGCGACCCGAGAAGGGCCTTGGTTCCAGTGATACACCGCTGTTTGGTCTAACTACAGAGAGGAAAGTACAAAATAGAATCTTTATTCTGTCATACAAAACAGAGGTCAACGTAAAATGAGTTCCAGTGGAAAAAACTAGAGTGCCGCGTCTCTATTCACCACTTTAGAACCGAGGAACCTCAGTCGAGTTAGCGTTCGCAAGGCCTTCTTGGGAACGCACCGGTCAGCCATTTGTTATTTTTTTCCTTCCAGAGTATCATTCCCAAAAGTCTTTGCGAACGTTCTATCGAAATGAAAAGTTTCCTTCTGATTTCTACAGTGGAGAATAGACAAGATTAGACAAGACAACAATTTTATTTGGTCCACGCACAGAAAAAAAGACACTAAGAAAAGACAATACTACTTATCAAAGGTACCAGCCACCAATAAAATAGCTAAACAGCTTATCAAACTAGGAGGCATATGGATTAATAAAGATTATTAAACAAGTTCTTTCGTGGAGGCACAAGTAGGAGGAACAGGGTTGTCAAATTGCACCGGCAACCGGCGCTATCACCGGCTACCTTAAGGTTTTGGACGCCTGCAAATTATTGGAAAGTAGCGAAGAAAATGGACGATTAAAAAAGTTGTAAAATAAAAACCAGAAAAAAAATTGTTTTAATCATGATCTACATGTTCTTTTTTGTGAAGCACCTTATCTACCTAGGAAAACAATATCCCTAGTAATATGTCTACCCCTACCCTGGACACACATATCACTAGGGATATGTGTTTCCTAGGTGGGAAAACACATATCACTAAGGATATGTGTTCCCCCACCTGGGAACCACATATCCCTTGTGATATGTGTTCCTCCACCTAGGAAACACATATCCCTAGTGATATGTGTTCCCCCACCTGGGAAACACATATCCCGAGTGATATGTGTTCCCCCACCTGGGAGACACATATCTCTAGTGATATGTGTTCCCCCACCTAAGAAACACATATCCCTAGTGATATGCGTTCCCCCACCTGGGAAACACATATTCCTAGTGATATGTGTTCCCCCACCTGAGAAACACATATCTCTAGTGATATGTGTTCCCCCAACCGAGTAGCCTGAGATCATGCCCTCTCCCTATTATCCCTTTATGTCTCTCACGGGAAGAGGGTATGATACATTTCTCTGTCGGATCGCATGTAAAAATGCCAGAATCTGGACTTTTTTCTGATTGGATAGGAAACAATGCGGATGATTTGCGCTGTTCCGATTGGCCAAAATGACGCCATCCGTTAGTTGTTGTTGATTTCAGTCTGCATTTTTGCTTGCGTAATAAGCAGTGAATACACACGCGAGTTCGTTATGAAATTTCTGCCCGCTCACTTTTCTTGAATTTGAAGAATGCCTAAATAGAAGTTTCATCCATTGAAATATTTACCATCTCATCGTATACCAAAACAGTTGCAGTCAAAACTTCACCGATCATTTGAATGCAATTTGATACCGGCTACAAGTTACAGAAGCGACAAACGGGTTCACTTTTCAAATAATCAATTCATGAATGGAATCTTGACCTGGTTTGACTGTATTTCCTCTTTCAGAAATCATGCTGCGAATTATTCTGAGCGATCTTCGCTTTCACAACACCTTTCAGTTCGTGAAATATGGTGCTTCAGCCTAATTTTTTTTCCACTGCTTTCGGTACAGAACGAAGTCAACGAGCTTTAACCAGTAAATTATTTATTATTTGTAGCTATTCATAAAGGTACGACAGCTCCAGCTAGCAGTATATTTCATCACAAAAACAACACATTTTTTTTTTTTTTTTTTACGAAGCGCCATCTGAACACGGACGTACTTAAAAATTTTTTTTCCCTAAAACTGATTTCAAAAGAGACATTATTCGCGCCAAAATTTGATTCCCGTTTGGTAAACGCTTATTGGCTAAAAACATGACAGGTCAAGCAAACGTTAGATTATGTAAATTAGGGGGCGGTTGACTGCTTGTTAAATAAATGTATCAGGCGTTATTTTTTTCCCTCTCGAGCCAAAGAAGCAAAAAAAAAAAAAAAAAAAAAAACGCCTGATCTCAGGTTACCAACCGAGAAACATATATCCCTAGTGAGATGTGTTCCCCCAACTAGGAAACACATATCCCTAGTGATATGTGTTCCCCCACCCAGGAAACACATATCCCTCGTGATATCTGTTCCCCCACCTGGGAAACACATATCCCTAGCGATATGCGTTCCCCCACCTGGGAAACACATATCCCTAGTGATATGTGTTCCCCCACCTGGGAAAAACATATCCCTAGCGTGATATGTGTTCCCCCACCTGGGAGACACATATCCCTAGTGATATGTGTTCCCCCACCTGGGAAACACATATCCCTAGTGATATGCGTTCCCCCACCTGGGGAACACATATTCCTAGTGATATGTGTTCCCCCACCTGGGAAACACATATCTCTAGTGATATGTGTTCCCCCACCTGGGAAACATATATCCCTAGTGATATGTGTTCCCCCATATGGGAAACACATATCCCTAGTGATATGTGTTCCCCCACCTAGGAAACACATATCCCTAGTGATAGGTGTTCCCCCACCTGGGAAACACATATCCCTAGTGATATGCGTTCCCCCACCTGGGAAACACATATCTCTAGTGATATGTGTTCCTCCAACTGGGAAACATATATCCCTAGTGATATGTGTTCCCCCACATGGGAAACACATATCCCTAGTGATATGTGTTCCCCCACCTAGGAAACACATATCCCTAGTGATATGTGTTCCCCCACCAGGGAAACACATATCTCTAGTGATATGTGTTCCCCCACCTGGGAGACACATATCCCTAGTGATGTGTGTTCCCCCCCTCCCTGGGAAACACATATCCTTAGTGATATGTGTTCCCCCACCTGGGAAACAGATATCCCTAGTGATATGTGTTCCCCCACCAGGGAAACACATATCACTAGTGATATGTGTTCCCCCAACTGGGAAACATATATCCCTAGTGATATGTGTTCCCCCACATGGGAAACACATGTCCCTAGTGATATGTGTTCCCCCACCTAGGAAACACATATCCCTAGTGATATGTGTTCCCTCACCTGGGAAACACATATCCCTAGTGATATGCGTTCCCCCACCTGGGAAACACATATCCCTAGTGATATGTGTTCCCCCACCTGGGAAACACATATTTCTAGTGATATGTGTTCCCCCAACTGGGAAACATATATCCCTAGTGATATGTGTTCCCCCACCTGGGAAACACATATCCCTAGTGATATGTGTTCCCCCACCTAGGAAACACATATCCCTAGTGATATGTGTTCCCCCACCTGGGAAACACATATCCCTAGTGATATGTGTTCCCCCACCTGGGAAACACATATCCCTAGTGATATGTGTTCCCCCACCTGGGAAACACATATCCCTAGTTATATGTGTTCCCCCACCTGGGAAACACATATCTGTAGTGATATGCGTTCCCCCAACTGGGAAACACATATCCCTAGTGATATGTGTTCCCCCACCTGGGAAACAGATATCCCTAGTGATATGTGTTCCCCCACCTGGGAAACATATATCCCTAGTGATATGTGTTCCCCCACCTGGGAAACACATATCCCTAGTGATATGTGTTCCCCCACCTTGGAAACACATATCCCTAGTGATATGTGTTCCCCCAACTGGGAAACACATATCCCTAGTGATATGTGTTCCCCCACCTGGGAAACACATATCCCTAGTGATATGTGTTCCCCCACCTGGGAAACACATATCCCTAGTGATATGTGTTCCCCCACCTAGGAAACACATATCTCTAGTGATATGTGTTCCCCCGACTTGGAAACACATATCCCTAGTGATATGTGTTCCCCTACCTGGAAAACACTTATCCCTTTTGACATGTTCTTTCCCACCCGGGAAACACATATCCCCAGTGATACTTTTTTTCCTGTTATATGTGTTCCCCTACCTTCACTACACATATCCAAAGTGATATGTTTTTCCCTAGCCGGGAAACACATATCCATAGTGACATGAGTTGTAATACCTATAGAAATCAAAAAGAGTAGGTGACAACATGGAACCTTTTCTGTACAAGTAAATGATTGGGTTAATTTGTCATCAATTTTAACTTCCGATTTATCAGTTGAGTACATGAATATTAAAACGTCTAAGAAACGTCCGTGGACACCTTCTTTGTTTAGTTTGTCGACTAGTTTCTGTCGAGGTATACAGTCGAAGGCTTTTCTAAAGTCGACGAAGCATGGAAAGAGTAAATTTCGGTGCTTCTGTGGTTTAGACTTCACATACTTGTCAATAAGCGTTTTTAATGTGAAGATGCTATCAACTGTGCCATGCATTTTTCTGAAGCCACATTGTTCAGCTTTCAAAATTCCTTTTTGAACCACGTACTCGTGCAGTCGATTGTTGAGGATTGATGTAAAGATCTTGCCTTGCGCAGAGAGCAAAGTGATACCTCGGTAATTTTCGACTTTGGATCGATCATCCTTCTTATGAATAGGTACGATGAGGCCAAAACTCCAAAGAGTGGGGTATTTGCCAGTATCTAAGATTCGATTAAATAAAGTACTAAATGCCCGCCCTTTCATGGCTTCCTTTCCGATTCTTATTACTTCCGCGCTTTAATATATTATCGATACCTGGAGATTTGTTTGCCTTCAGTTTGTTAATTGCAGCTTCGAACTCTTTATCAGTTATTGGATAATCAATTGGGCCTTCCACTCTTTCGTTACTGTGGGTTTCCATATTCGTCTCCGGATCTAGTATATTATTGAGAGGGGTCGCATTCTGTTGCTAAAAGTATTTATAAAACTGTTCCGTACTCACTGCTTCAGCTCCATGTGTTTTTCTTTTTCCTAAGTTAAAGATTTTTCCTATGTGTCAACAGGTCTCTTTGGAGTTCTGCATATCGATATTAGACATGCCTTTGCTGATAGACTCCCGTTTCTTCCGTCTAGAAGTTTGTTTCAACCTCTTCTTTTTGTCTCGCAGTAGTTGTCTCAGTTCTGAATTATTAATGTTATGAGACATTTTCTCCCCAAGGGATTGCAAGTTTTCTTTTTCTGTTTCGCATTCCTGATCGAACCATTTTATTTGCGATTTGCATTTAATTTTAGTGCCTCTCGCTTTCCATCCGGCTTCTTTGCATGCTTCCATCAAAGTTTCATTTAGTAATTCAGACGCAGTATCGATGCTATCATGTTTGACAGCTGCTACTACCCTGGATTGAACTGTTTATATCAATAGTGATATGTCTTCCCCTACCAGCCCCGCCGGGAAACACATGCCGGCTACTTTCTGTTATTCTCCTGCTACCTAAAATCTTTTTGACAACCCTGAGTAGGAAACGCTCTCAGAAACTGCTCACTCCCAATAGATAATTTGCAAACAAAGATCACTCAAACTAAATCTCCTGTACCTTGATTGAGGTCCACAAGTTCGCGGTCTTCATTTATGGGGCATTCTCTAACAAAAATGAAAGGAAAAGTTGAACGTAACGTTCATTACAAAACTTTACAATACTGAAAGAAATCCCCGAGCATTTACCTGAGAGAGTCATCATCACTCCCCAGTCTAAGTGGGCCCTAAGAAAACAAAAAAAATGAAATTTAAAGTTTGTATTCCATAACAGTGTTGGAGTAATCCATAACAGTGTTGGAGTAATCCATAACAGTGTTGGAGTAATCCATAACACTGTTGGAGTAATCCATAACAGTGTTGGAGTAATCCATAACAGTGTTGGAGTAATCCATAACAGTGTTGGAGTAATCCATAACAGTGTTGGAGTAATCCATAACAGTGTTGGAGTCTTAGTCTAAAGCTAAGTTTATAAGTGACTGATTAGTCTCAGGTTTGATTGTAGTTAACTGCAAGGAAAACATTACACTTTCATTGATCGACCTATTCCGATATTCGGCTGTCTGTGGTGTCACTGAGACAATCTTCCACTCAAACTTAAGTCTTTTTGCAAAAAAAGCACTTGAATTTTATCGTTTGTACAGGCTTTAAGATCTCCTTTTTATTTAAAAACCATTTTTAGCAAGAAAAAGCAAATTGTAGCAACATTCCTAAAGAAAACCTTAATTCGATTGATACTGTTGGCAATTAACCAATGCCTCAGATACTCAAAATATCGATTGCCTTAACTAACTAAGAGCTGCTCTCATGGACGTTACAACTGTGAAAAATAAAGTCAGAATTCAACTAAAATTACAAACACTATGTAGGTTAGCTATACCAGTCTCTTGGAACGAAGTCCAGTTGGTGTTCTAAGCTCTGCCCTCATGATGTTATTCAGCTCACGCAACTACAAGAAAAAGAGGCCGGAAATATTTGTCTTTTATTGACGTCATACGTAACTGACCAATAGCAAGACTCGAGTAGTCCAGTACCTCACAAGAACCTCTAATTTAATTAGTCGTCTAAAACAATATTGCCTTTTGTGTCAAGGGTTACAGCACTCGAAATTTGCTCGTGGTCTCACCAGTTTGCTAGCGGAAAAAAATTTTACTAGCAAAACTTTGCAAGTGCACTAAAAAGATAACTTCGAGCCCTGGAGTTAGGGTAATTGTTATTTTGATTATCCTATTGTTTTCACAGCCAATCGTGTGAGCCGTTCAGTGAGGTGCTGTTTGACCAATAGCAAGAGAGTACCTCTTCTGCATTCATGACAGTCATATCACCAAGGATCTCTCTTCTCCAGTCTCCGGATTTTTTCACTTTCATCTAGGAAAAACGTTGAATTCAATCACTGAAACAACCAATCAATCAGTTTATCATATATTCCGTCATAATTTCACAATCTTTGTACATACCCGTCCCCTAACAGCTGGTGGAGTACCTCTGCAAAGAGATAGAAGATTTAACATTATTAGAAAAATAGCGACTAATCATCGTAATTAAAGAATGCCTTTCCACACCCAGATTGATGGTGATTTGCTGTAATAATGATGATTGTGCGGGTCTATGACTAGGAGTTTTTATTTCTAATACAAGCCCTTGGAGTCAGCCCTTTCCTGAATAAATTCAAAAAATAGAACGGTTCCCAGAGGACACGTCAACATTCAAAAGGGCCAATCACAAAGAAGTAATGACAATTCTATTGTTCTACATCAAACAGGAAATACAGTGTTGACAGGCCAAACTCACTCATAGGCTCTAGAAACGTGATCTAGCCTTTTGCTCTAGAACATGCCTAAGAGGTTTTCTAGCTTTTATTGCTGGCGGGTACCCTATACTGTGGAGAATTTTAAACACTGAATGTGTATTTATTAATTTTGGCTGCTTTTCAGAGGCCCCTGACCTCTCCCATTATTTCCAAAAGTTTATCATCTGTAGTTCTGTCAGGATTCCATTTTCTTTGGCCAATTTTTTAAGCGTTAAGGGTTTTATGCCTGGGAACACATATATCTAGGAATATGCGTTTCCCCTATCACCAATGCCGTCCCAAGCCTCAACATCATCATCACCACTACCTCGTCACCGTAACAACAGCATCAGCAAGTCATCATCATGTTCGTTATCACCAATACCACCCGCCAGCCTGCTAGGAATATGTCTTTGGGGCGAAACTTATCACGGGGAAACACCCATCACTGTGACGTCACAGCGATATGTGTTTTCCCGTGATATGTTTTCCCCCGAACACATATCCCTAGTGAAATGTGTTTCCCCTACCCGTTTTCCTGGATAGGTGATAAGGTGTTTCCCCGTAATATGCGTTACCCCCAACACATATCCCTGTATCCCTTGAGTTATGTGTTCCTGGGTAATGATGATGATGAAGGTGATGTATATGGCAATGATAATGGTGGTGCTGCTGATGGTGGTGATGATGATGATGATGATGAGGGTGGTGATGATGGGATGATGGTATGTGTGATAGTGGTGATGTTGATGAGGGTGGTGATGGTGGTGGTAGTGTGCATGATGACGACGGGTGACAGTCATGACGATGACAGTGGTGATGGCGGTGATGATGATAATGATGATGACGATGAAGCCTTGAAGGCGGTGATAATGATGATGATGATGACGGTGGCGGTGGTGGTGAGAACACTGATGATTGTCATGTAGATACAAGTAATTTAATGCACTCACGGAGCTAAGGTTCCTCCAGTGGCGGATCGCTCACGATGGAAGGAATTTTCCTTTCGATTCAAAGAAGTGGAACTTTTCTCTTTCACTAATTCTTGCACCTACGTTATTCAAGAAAAAACTTCTTTAATGAGCTGTTTTCTTTCTCTGATTCCGAAAATGATTGTAAGTACCTTATTTTCATTCTCGTCAGAGGTAGGTTGAGAAGAGAGCTTGACCTTCTCACCATCCCCTCCCTCGGTGGAATGTTTCCCTTTGCGTTTTCCATACTCTGGGATTGCCTTCACTGTTCTTAAGATTACGTGAGAGGCTGCAAAAAAGTAAACAGTCATAAATTTCTCTTGCAAGAAGTGATCTATAACCAATCCATAGCTGTCCGATCAGCCTTGCCTTTTGATTAAAGTTTTCTTCCTTATTACTGATCCTGATTTTCACCAAGATCCGGTTTCTATACATGCTGTTTGTCTAAGTGGTCCTACACAGTTCGCTGATCTTATTGATATTTCTAATTTGGGGAAAGCGTTTGGGTCTACACACAAAGTGCGCCTACTTATCCCTACTATATCACAGGTATGTTTTCTTTCCTCCACAAGGTGATTCTAGCTGTTAAATCTGGGAATAAAACTGTCCTTTCTTTTTTTTTATAGTTAGCTTGTGGGCAAACTTTTGTGGAGGAGCGAATCCCTGAGAAATCTCTCAACTGCAGGCGGTCAGGAGGGTTAACACAGAGAAGAATTCAAGATGAATGACACGTGGTATATACTATTCACTATCTACAGTACCTGTCGGTAATACAGTCTGGTTGCCACTTAAGCAATTAAACTGTGTCTTATACATCCTTACCAGGGAACCAACCGACTTTGTTTTTGCAACGGCCTTGCCACCAATCATCTTTCTACGATAAAAATTTGAATAATATTCAGACAAATGTGATAGTTGTGATTATTTGAGTGGCGTGCAAGTGTTAATAAGTAAATCGAACATTTGAAAACATTTCAAACCACATCATGCCACAGTTATGTTACTATAGTCATACCACAGGTGTAGTATGTAGCACAGTTATACCAAAGCTATGTACCACAGACATACCGAGGCAATCAACCACAGTCACACCTCAGCTATATATATCCTAATCTTACCACAATTATATCGTAGTCATAAATTAAAGTTCTGCTTACCTTCAAAAACACAGTGACTTCATCACCCACTTGTAAATCCAAATCATTATCTCTTAGTCCTCTAAACGTAGTGACCACGCGCACTTTTTGTTCGGCATTTGCCATACTCTTCCTCGCTTGTTTTTTCTCCTTCATTCGTTTCTTTAGAACACGTTCACGCTAAAACAGAAAAAACGTCACTAATACAACACAAAAACTTTTTAACGAACACTCAAATATAAGAAGACTTTGTACCTTGTCGCCCTTGCCTTCACCAACTTCATCCTTTTCAAATTCAAAAACTTCATCCTGTATTAAATTAAAGGGTTTGTAAACAATAAGAGGTATCATCAACGACACAATTATCATCGACATAATTATTTATCACGACCAGTGTCACTATCGTCCTTATTTACATCATCATCATCATCACCACCAATACATGTCACCATCATAACATCATTTATTATCTTTCCTTAAACAACATCATTTTCATCATCACCACCACCAAAGTAGCACTGTCACCATTTTTAACATTTACCACCACCAAATGAAGAAATGATCGTCACCAGTGAAATCAATCATCATCATCGTAACCACCACCTGAAAAAATTCAGGACTTGAACTTTCGTTTGAAGCTTAAAACATCTTTGCTTAGTTTTAATTCATTGTTCAATCATCAACATCATCCTCCTCATCATCATCGTTACCAACACATTATCATCAATCATCATCATCATCATCATCATCACCACCAACAGTACTAGCACTGTCACCATCATTAACATCATTACCACCACCCATTAACATCATTACCACCACCACCATCATTATCACCACCATCATCATCATCATCGTAATAATAACTATCAGCAAAGTCAGAGTAATCATCATCAACACCGTCATAAAAACAACTTCATCTACACTATCATCATTATCACAAACATAATGAACAGTGGACTCTAATACATCAAAATTACCTGTTCCTTGCCATTTTCCTCGTCCTTCTCCTCTGGAATTGAAGGTCTTCTATTCTGAATGAACAAAAAATAATGCAAACATCTAGGTATGTTGTAATACTGACTGTATGAAAAGAGCACTTAATTTGTCATGAGCTAATAAAACACTAGCGTTACCTTCGCAATGGAGCCACGTTTTAATGTACCCCTTCTCACGTTTAAAGATTCTACAGCTGCCAGGGATTGCCTTCTTTCTGCAACTTGGTCTACCTGTAACAAGGACACAGGTGCATGCAAATGAATTTCCTCTTAAAACACGTAAAAACTTGCCAGTCTTTCACCTTGCCTTTACGAAACAAACTTTTCCTCTCCACCTCTCTTGACTTAAACTACCAGCAAAAGTTTCTTTTTTGGGGGCGAAGTCATTAACCGTTTCACGTTTTTTTTATGACTTCTGCTAACAGAGTTACCAGCTCAATAAACGGTCCTTTTGAACTCACCCTTACGCTTCCAAATAAACTGCTTGCTACACTGCTAATCATATAAACAGCATGGTGTTTTGCTGAAGCCTGTAATAACATAAAAGATAAACATGTTACTACTACACGCGGCTTGGTGTCTAAAAACTAACAATCCAACGAAAATGATATTTTAAAGGTAAGGGTTTCAGTTTTTTCGGCACCGGTTATAAACAGATCTCTTTTTATGACCCACCAGTGCTACTCTCATGAGGTTAACTCAGTACAAACAAATCTGTGACCTTGTGTTTGTCTTTGAAGGATGACATTTCAAACTTTTTGCTTTGACGTTATTAATCCGCAAAGGCGGTAATTAACGCGCTGATATATAAAGTTTCCACTCTAAAATTCAGTTATCTGTCAAAAAGAGAAGTATGGATTAAAGGAAAATACTCAATGCGTAGATTACTTGTAATCTGGAATGACTGACTTTAGAGCATTACTAGAAGACGGGAGGAGGACAAAAAGAGGTACGGGGGAGGGAGGTGAGGGAGGGTTAGAGGGAAGGAGACGTAAGAGAAGAAAAACAGAAAAAAAGGCAAGAAAAAAAGAAAACAAGAGGAAACATTCTCCACCCTAAGAATCTTTTTTCGTGAAGAAAATGAAAGAAAAAAGCTTCATACATCAACAGTGGGAGGTCGCTGTTCTGAAGCCTGCCTTTCTATATGGGGTCTAAGCTGATGCGGATCTTCGTCCAATGTCCCGAGTTTATTAAAAGCTTCAATTGCAATGGCTACAAACAAACTGAAAAAAATAAAACATGAATTAGCACGGGTGAGATACGTTCATTTGTGACCGACTTCACTTAATTCACTTCAAACAGCACTACAGCTTTACAAAACAACAGAGACCTTTGGATTCTAAAACGAGGACGACAGGCAGACTACGAGGACAAGATTTTCTTAATTGTTAGTTGTGCTTGCACGTGAATCAGCGTCATTTTGGTGGAAAAACGTGGTAGCCGTCGTCATTTTACTATGAGTTAAATACACAGTGTACAACGAATTAACGACCAAACTCACTTCATGACAACCATATTGACCAGAATATATGCTGCTACAAAGTAAAGACTGGTCCAGTTATTTCCAGTGGCTTCCATTACCTAACAAAACACAAATAAAAGAAAAGAAAAGTCACCAGGGAAGTGTTTTATACAACAGAAGAAATAAACATCAATTTGGAAAAGACATAAGGGCCATTAATACGAGGAAAAAAAGACGCGTACTGTACCATTTATACGAGCATGTCTTATCTAAGACAAAAACAGCTCGTATAAATGGTTTGCGTCTTATTTCTGTTCTTGACTCGGTTTGATGTGAATGCTGCCCGTAGCAACGGCCATCCAGGAGGTCTGCTACTGCCCTCTCCTCGCATTTATACGAAGTTTTTCTTGTCTTAGCCAAGACACGTCTTATCTAAGAACAGGTGTTAAGGGGTCAACGCGTCTTAGGCGCGTCTTATTTTGGACGAAATGGCTGTTTAACGGAAAGTTCGCGTCTTATTTAAGACGGCGACGGCAATAAATGGCCCTATAAAGGTCACTTAAATTCTGAAGAAACTGTGGTCTGGCAAGTTATCGAAACTGTGCGTGCGTGATTAAACTTTGATCGAAGGCTTATTCCTTTTTAAACTTTATCGCACTTATTCCATGTCGTTCAATTCGTCAAATCTTGGCAATTTTCTCCGGAGTTGAATACTAAAAGATTGCATCGATGTTCAGGAGAAGAACAAGAAAGTCGTAGCCTTGGGTTCACGTCCTCCACAAAACAAGAAATTAGGCATTTCCACAGCGTAGTTGTGCACTAACGGCAATGAAAAGTACAAAAAAAGCGTGATGCACTTATAAACTTGTTGTTTTGCTCAATAAACCTATTGCTTTTTTGACGTTCTCGTCGCCGCAGCTCGTCGTCATTGCTAAAACTCCTTAATATATCAAATGGATCCCCTAGTCGACAAAACCATTTAGACGAGACTGGGAGCCTAGTTTTGTACAAGATACAAACTTGCAAACGTTAAACATGACTCACCGAGTTCATGATTTCGTGCCAGTTGCTCGTGGTTACCATTTGAAATAAAATCAGGACGGAACACCTGGGAGAGGAATTAAAAAGAATTAACTTGAAGGTAATCAGAAGATTAGCACAAGCACACTTTGGCTTTCCCTTTCAATAGAACAATGCTCTGACCGGTATCTATTACAATTTGCCTGGATTTTGAACAGGCTGGAAAAATCCTCATTTGATATTCCAGAGCTTTTTCATTACAGTATGCGCATGAAGTAATAAAGAAGAGATTCATCTGTTTTTAAAAGAATCAAAGTTATAAATTATCATAATTATTTGTCCATAATTTTGATCATATTTATCATAACTAATTACTCGGAACCAACGTGTATAAATTATCATAATTATCAGAATCAATTTAAGAGAGGAATTGAGAGACAAAATTATCAGAATTCACAGTTGACTTGACTCACTTGAGTCATCCAACTTTCAAGATTTATCATATAGTTAAAGATGGGTCTCAGCAAGTACATACCAAAACGTTTGAAATCCCAGGCCACAAGCCGGAAGATACATGTGTCCCTCACATGTCTCGGGCGCGCCATGAAATAACTCCATTCCTACACTGGCTATCAAATACCTGCAAGTTCATTAGATACAAGTAAAAAACAGACTTAAGAAAAAGCAAGGGCAAGTACCTGGGTTTTACAGAAAGTTACCCTATGACTACTTCGAACCTGTTTCTATACAAAATTTTAAAAAAAGGTTATGGGAATATACTGGTGATGGACTTTGATTAGGTGCGAGCTTTCAAAATAGCTGGTTTGTAAAATAACCGAAATCATGTATGCGCTCTGACTGGTCAAAACCAATTTATAAGAATTAAACAGCGGTAAACTAGAGTTACTTTAAGCGAGCAATAGTTCCATATTTCTACTGATTTACCAGCGTAAAAAATACACAGAAACAACAATAACAACACCACCACCAAGGATGATGGGTGAACTCGTCAGTTAGTTACATCGCTACACGCACCCAGGGCAGTTTGTTCTATTGCTTGCATAAATTAGGAGGTCCCTCACATAGTCAAACGTTACAAACACTTGACACGAATTAAAAGTAAAAGCGTTAAAGCTATAAAAATGGGAGAAAATAATCTTACTAGACTGTTCACAGTCCCCTATTTATCCGTCGAGCGGCCATCTTGGATGAGTGTCATATGAAACCAAGATGGCCGCCCGTAACGGTAAGCGCTCGCTCCTGAAGATCATGCGAAAAACTAGGAGACTGTGAACAGTCTATAACCTTACACAATAATTCCTAAAAGGCACAGAAGATCCACCATTACGGGTGCAATTCTTAGGAAGATAGAAACCGCTTGCTTGAGTTGTCTGTTGTTGAAAGGTAGTCGACAGAATACAGCGAGGCTTGATATTGTAGTGGCGTAATTTCTAAACCAAAAAAAGTCAGGATATCTGGTGTACCAAACGAAGTTTGAGGAAAAAGCCAAGGCCGTCTAAAAGAAAGAGAAATAAAAATAAACATACTGCTGAGAGTGGAGGTTTCAAATATTTTGTCATTACTGAGCAATAAATTCATCCTAATTTTTAAATAGTTGATTCTTCATTCTCTATGTAGAAACAGCTCACCAGGAATAGATCCATAATCTCGAGAGGTTCTAAAATTTGTCTTCCAACCGCTAAAATTCGCATTATGCCTTCAAACTGTAAAATGAAAAAAACAATAAATTGTACAGTTCATATCCTTTTCTATCCATATTAAGGGCCATATTAATTAACTATATGGTATTCAAGCAGTGAACATTCCTCTATGTGTTTGCACCCTCAAGTAGTGGCCACGTAATACCCCCGGGAATTTCTTTGTGCAGACGTTCAGCCTTAACCCGTCTCCAGACAGGAAACGTGCAAATTTTCATACCCTTTTAAAATAAGACTTAATTGCAAGAAACTCAGGCCCGAATCTAGAAGTCATATTTGCAATCACAACTAGGCCTTTGAAGTGATACCTGTTTTTATATTTAAATGACCCTACATTACCCTATCAATTTAGGTTTCTAGAGAACTGACCACCTACCGCTCCCCTAAGCCAACATTTTGCCCTGTGTGAGAAGTAAGTGATAACGTTGGCTAAAGGGAGGGGTAGGTGGACAGTTTCCCAGAAATCTAAATTGATCCCATTAACCTAGGGTGTTCCACAAAACGGACGTATTTCTAACAGGTGCTTCCTGCCACCCCCGCCCCCTGTTGCTCTTTTCTCTCCAACTACCCTTCCCTAATTTGCACCTGTGACGCAACCTGTATATGACTACGAGATATCCAACACTTATAATCATCCACACCAGCCTGGGAAACAGCCATCAGTAAAACCAACGTCTTACCAACCTTAAACTACCTTTGACATAATGAAATATACGTACCAAGAATATTGTTACTATTATACTTCTAGTCACTGCAACAAGAAAATTAACAATAAATAAATAAAAATGAAAAAATAGGAATAGGTAATAAGCGAGGTATAAACGGAACACCAGACTCACAAACAGTAGCCCATCGCTCCGACCGCCATTTCGTATAGAAGCCTTGGGTCACAGTGTGGGAAATATTTAGCCAATAGGCTATTTATAGATTCAGTTTTCCCTCCAAAAAACTCGCAGCGAGTCTAGCAGTGTAGGATTTCCAGCAAAAGAAGTCCAGACCAACGAATAGAATGTAGCTGAACCTCTTTCTGAAAGTTTAATACCCTGTGAGCAAGCTCTCTGAGTGGCTAGCAAAGTGAGCCGCGACAGAACACGAGCGGATGAGCGAAAAGGCCACGAGGGCAGAGATTCTCTCCCGGCCTCTCGCTCTCTCCTCTTTTTTCGCGTTATCCTCGCGCGTGACTTTTCACGACATCCTTGAAATGGAGAGCTTGCTCGCAGGGCTAGAATATCAACTGCCAGTTATTGGATGGTGCAGAGGTGTGTTCATGCAGCCTGAATAGGCCCTTTGCAGGTGATAACCATTCACGTGGTACAAAACCGCCATGCTGAAGAGCAAAAGTCGCACTGGGACAAGACAAACAGAGGAAATTACCATTTAAAATTATGTATGCCTTTTATTTGTCTTGTCCCAGTGCGACTTTGCTCTCCAGCTTGGCGGTTTTGTACGATGTGAATGGCTAGCTGCAAGGGCCTATTTCGCAGGAAAAACAATCTAGAAGTCTAGGGCGCCGTGACACTGACACGTTGCAACTAGTAATAGACCGTGCAACGCCAAACTCTAGGGCATTTTTTTGCCCCTCTATAACATAGCGTTTTCTGTGTTGTCACGTACAGCTCCTCAGTAGAAAGGAGCGTTATGTGATCACACAATTAACGTTGCGTAAAAGACTGTTTGTTCCCTTGGCCGACCTTAAGACAGTTGAAAAAGGGAAGGACAGTAAATAATATGCTGACCTACCTTGGACAATTAACTCGACCTCAAGACTTTCACCTTTCCATTTGAAGGCAAAGAGAATACTGTGAAGTAACGTGAATAAACAACGAAAAATTACGAGAGAAATCACGGGCAACCCAAGATAAAGTCAAAAGCAACTCATAAATAAAACTGACATTACTGATCAGAATGACAGAATTGATACACTTTAAGCAACACGCCAAGCTTATCTTAACCTCTGGTTCCCTGCAAAGAAACCTGACAGTGTCTTAGATTTTTAAAGTCAACTTCAGTGGAAACTTGCCTGACCCACACTTTATTTATACTACAATTTTTTCGACTAAACTAAAAACTCGCAGCCATTCATCAGACTTTTATAATGGCCATTAGGCAGTCGCAATGTACGGATAATGGGCCGAACAACGGATGCACGTATCAGCTTTCAGTTCTGATTGGTTCTTATTGACAGTGCCTGTGGTGATTGGCCAGAGTGAATACATACGTGGGTTTTACATAATTATGTTTCTTACCAGTGTAAAATAATAAGAAGTAGAATGAAATGCGAGAAGACTTCTGTCTGAAAACAAGAGAAACGAGCAATAAATACAATGTTACCCGGAAATAAAAACCCAGCAACTCTTAAAATATTCCTTGATGGTCACACTTTGACATTGAACCTGAACTGGTATAGCAGAGCAACCTCAGCAGCTTTCATTTCAATAGTCATACCACAGTATTAATAGTAAGGGGCACCTTCTACAGCGTAATAACGGGAAAGATGCTCCCTTAGCTTTCATGTAAACGACCATAAATCATTATTTCATCAAGACACCAAAATAATTCGAGCACTTTGCTGAAAAATATGGATGGTTATACATCAGATAAATAAGGGACCCAGTGTACCTCCGTAAGAAACTTCGCAACCTCTCTGATCCTGATCATCCATTTTGAAAGACCAAGCTGCAAAATAGTCACGTGCGTTGTATTAATAAGCAGAATTCATGCTGCAACCCAATAATTTGACTGAAATTCTGTGTAGCAATAATTCTTCGACTGCAGCTTCAAGTCTAAATTCGTTGATACGTTAAAGTACCTGGGTTAGGCGAGGAATCAGGCGCGTAAGAAATTCTCTAGGTTTTTTTTTTTAACTTAAGTTCGCCAGTTTTTGTAATCACTCCTGACTGGTTCAGAAGATGACGCGCGTTATGTCAACCAGTCACAACGCACAAGCGTGAAGCAATCTTAACACCCCTTTGCGACAATAGACACACACATAGAAGTTTATACGACTTAAATCCCCTCAGGATCAGGAAAGTGGAAGAACAAGTCACATCGCACATCACGCGCAGTACATAACGCTGACTCACGGTTTCATCAAGTAGTAATAGATCTTCATCATCTTCAAATTCGAGGCTTAAAACCTGCCAATGAAAAATGAAACATCAGAAAATTAAACCTTAGAAATCTAAAACCAATGAAATGTTTATAATCATAAACGTACTAAGGACTGAATTTCCTGTTAGGCAGTTAAGCCACTGAGCAAGATCCGATACAAGCGTCGTATTAGACAAAAGATGGGCATACCCTTCCAGGGTACCCTTGAGTGTATAACAACGTTACCTGACTCAGCATAGTGGTCCACTCAAATGAATCAACCTCTCCATCCTCATTAGCATCCAGCATTTCAATTAACATCAAGTTTTCTGGTTCTGAATTCTGAGGGGAAAAAAAGATGGAAGGAGGATAGCACCTAAGTTGCAAGGAGGATAAAGAAACGTGGATACGCTATGAATACGATGTCGATATAATGCCGGTAACAAGCAGTCTGATACAAAATCAAGAAACGACGTAAACACGTCTATGATACAGTATGATAGAAACTGATTAGTCCTTATTGGTCTCTAACTGCACGCGGGCAATAGAACGCGAGAAGCGTGACCGAGAGGAGCGCGACAGATGATGGGAAGAAGGAAAACAAAAGGGAGAGTCTCCCCTTTTTCCTCCTTCCCACAAACCCTTGCGCTCCCCTTGACAGCGCTTCTGGCATTAAGATCTGTTCATATTAATAGGAGACTGAGAAACGACTGGGGACTAGACAGCCACAGAAACGATACAGACATGCGTACTACACGGAAAATTAAAAAGATCTGTTTCAGCCCCAAAGTGTCAATTCAGCCCTGCAGGCCAAAGTCTGATTCAGCCCTTCCTGGAGTCATTTGAGCACAATTTAGGCCAAAAAAACTCTATCACAAGGCTATTCCAGCCCACGGTAGGGCCCATTTCAGCCCTGGGACCAAATCAGCCCTAGCTAATTGGACTGTATTGGCCCTGATTTAGACTCAAAAATAGGACTGTATTTTACTCACCGAAACGGCCCTATTTTTAGGTCTAAAACAGATCTTTCTGATTTAGAGTGTAATTAAGCACTTACGTCGCAGGTATGATTCAGATACGTTACAGATTTGTCTCACGTACGATGTAGATGAGTTACAGGTTTCCCGTGGATACGTTGCACGCATGACTCAGATACGATACTGATATCACTCAGAAACGACTCAGCTATGAATCAGACGTAATGTAGAGATGATGCAGATAGGATAGAGAAATAAGTATGAAACGACGCGGGAATGACTCACGACAATGCAGATACGATACAGATGTGTTCTGCACTCGATACAGATAAGACAAACGTACAATGACTCATATGCGATGCATGAATCACACAAGTGCAATGCATATACGACGAAGGTATGACCAAGATACGATTCAGACATGACTCAGATCCGATACAGATATGGCTCAGAAAAGATACAGATACGATGCGGGGAAGTCTCATACACCATGCAGATACGACAAAGATATGAAGCAGATAAGAAAGAGATATGATTCAGATACAACGCAGACACAGATAAGTTCCCGATAGGATAGAGATGTCACTATGATACGAAGCGTGTATGACTTACTTACCGTTACAGATATGTTCCAGATGCGATACATAAAGGATAGAAATATGACTGTGATTTGATGCAGAAGGGACTCAGGTACTAAGCAGATACGACTCAGATGCGATGCAGAAGTGGCTCCAAGTACGATGCTGATACGACGCGCTTATGACTCAGATACGATGTAGACACGACTCAGATACGTTACAGATACGACGCAGGTATGACTAAAAACTATACAGATACACAGATATGAAGCAAAAGCATAGAGACAGTACTCAAACGTAACTCAGATACGATGCAAACGAGATGCATATGCAACCAAAAGACCGTGCGGACAAGATGGTTAATTCCTTAAGCAGACTCTCGTAATCAACTGGTATTTCTATCCCAAAGACGCTTGCTCAGTTTAATTTCATTATGTGGTCAAGCAACGATGAGTTTAATGACTTAACAAGAATCTTACCTTTGGTTTTAAAAGTTGAAAAAGCTTAATGAACTTCTCGTCATCAATACTTAAGGCTCCTGGCAAAAATAAATGAGTAAATTAAGTTAAAAGCAGTACTACTCTCTTACGTTTTCATTTTAAACCATCTCTTAGCCCCTTCAGAATTGAACCTTCCTGTCAATTCAACTACTTGTCAACATGCCTAAACTTTGGTTATCTCACCTAATAATCTACTTAATGATTTTGAACGTCTTGCTAGAGAAGCTAATTAGTTGTGCCCTCCTTGTTTTTAAACGTGCCAAGCAATTAGGTTCAAGTATTTCAGATCAGTTTTCACCCCACAGTGTACCAAACTACCAAAAACATAGGCGAGTCGACCGTTATTCACCCTCTCCGTTAAAGTATGAATGAGGTACGTTGGTGCCATTTTATCTCAAAACAATAACACTCCAGGACCTTCCAGAGGTGCACTTAAATGTAGAATAATCATGAAACTCACCCTTTCCTAACGGATCTAAAAGATTCCAAGCTTTTGCCAGCTCAGCTCGTTCCCTAGATCTTTCTTTCTTAACATGCTTCTTAGAATAAACCCTGGAATCAAGATACAGAAACAGAGAAAAATAACTTAGTGTGTTAACGAACGAGCATCCATCTGTGTTGACGTTTAAGGCAATTTGTTTGGTTTTCACCAGACAGAAAGGAAATAGAAACAGATTTCAAGGTGGTTAAAAGAATTTTCCTACATCTGTCCCCCATGCTGATGCACCTTTGGTTTTTCAATCGTTTATCTCATCCTGTTTTCAAACCAAAAGAGAATATCTCTTATTTCAAACCACAAAATAGGACGATCGTAAGCACAAGGCACGATAATAACAATTTAGGTTTCTGGGAAACTGCCCACATACCCTTCCTCTTAGTCAACACTAACACTTACTTATTACTTAAGGCAAAATGTTGGGTTAAGGGAGGGGTAGGTGGGCAGTTTCCCGGAAACCTAAATTGATCCATGATAACGATGAAAATGATAATGATGATGATGAAGACGATGACGATAACAGTGATGATCATGATGATGATGATAATGATGGTAATAGTGGCGGTGGTGATGATGATGATGATGATGATGATGGTGATAGTGATGGACGATGATGATGATGACGATGACGACGATGACGACGACGATGATGATGATGATGACGATGATGACGATGATGACGACGATGATGACGATGACGATGATGACGACGATGATGACGATGACGACGATGACGACGATGACGATGACGACGATGACGATGACGATGATGACGATGACGATGACGATGATGATGATGATGATGACGATGATGACGATGACGATGATGATGATGACGATGACAATGACGATGATGATGATGATAAATGCAAAGATTGGTGTTGGTAGTAATGATGGCAATGCTTACCAATAGCTGTCCACCACAATGGCCAGTAGAATCGCTGTCAAGAAGAACACTCCAACAAATACGTACAACCCTGCAAAGAAATTAAACACACTTTCAGCCAATACCGCTTTGGAGCAGATTGGCTTAGTATGGATAGCCCAGAAAACAGCCTCAAGTTCAGGACAGCCCCATAAGGGTATATAAGGGCTGGAACACTTGAAGGAGTTGTATTTTATGCACTCACCAAAATAAACAAAATATCCTGGATGTACCCTAAGAGCTGGAAGCAACACCTCCTGTGAAGATGAGGAAAATCAGGAAAAGGAAGATGAAAATGATGGAAATTACAGCAAGAGAGGAAATTGCCAAAATTTCTCTGGTCACGCGAAAGGTTGTCTTTCTTTCCTTGTAGAAAAATTTATTGTTCTAACACCCTTCTCTAAGAAAATGTAAATGATATTGGCAAAAAGATTGTTATTCTACTCTGGCAAAGACCCAAAAGAAACAACTAATTAAACTGAAACTCAAAGCCAGGAAAATTAGAGAACATCGAATATCTCGTTCAAATCACTCAAACTTCAACAGCGATGTAAAATGAATGAGATTTGATTATGTATCCGAGAACAGTACCTAAAAATATCACCAGTGAATAAAAAGCAAAAGCTTCAGTTTGAAGGAGAAGTCTATGATTTCCTCGCAGCTAATTCAGTAAAACAAAACTGATAATACTAATTATGCAGTGTACTAACCGGGAAATTTTCAGTCGACAAAAGGACAAAAAGTCTTAACATTGCAAAGGCAACATGATTAAATGCCCTAGAATAAAAGAATAAAATATGTCATCACGACAGAAACTTTCAAATCAATATGACAAAAAGAGACCACAGATAAAGAAAACTTTTTAAATACTCCTACCCTTTGTAAACCTTTTCTTCATCTTCCACAAAACAAGGAACACTTTTTCTATAATAAAATAATAGAGACAAGAGAAGTAAAAAAAGACACAGACAACTTTAAAAAGGTGGGTGTCAATGTTTCCAAAGGGGAACTAAGACATCTGAATCTGCCCAATGCTACTACGCTAGTATGAGCATCCGCATGGATCCGTCCATCCCTGACTTTCTCTCAGAGGTAGCTATGAAGACCCCTACTGTGTTGCAGTTTTAACTATTGAGCCGATAGATCTTGAAAATCAGAAATCCTTATGACGTGTAACGGCTTTTTTATTTTGAAATACTAGGTCTTACCCATGGTGTAATGTCATGGAAGATGAATTTCCTGATGGTCCATTACAATCATACGCATCCATAAGAACATGGACTCCAACAGAGGCAAATAACAGAACAAATACTAGAATTATAAAAAATAACTAGAGAAGGAAAAAACAAAGCAGAATGTTACAAAACGTTTCACACTACAGGGTCAAGAGTAGTAAATTGACATTCCAAAGATGTATGGGAGATTTTTATGGGGGGATGGGGTGGGGGTCAGTATTGGGAGAGGTGTTGAGGAGGTTAAAAGGATAGATGTAACTTTAATTTAACTACTAAAAGAACAGGTACCTTTGAAAGTTTAAATCCTATTGTAAGTAATACCTGCAAAACAAGAGTGCAAACATTTCATTCAAGTTAATACTACTGATGTCATGAGATAAAATTATTCGGCAAGGCAATCTTGAAGACGAATGCAATAGTTCACTAGTCCTGACGATGCAAAATTTACTTGACTGCACTTACATTAAAAATATGACGCATATTCTTGACTTTGCACAAAATAAGAGCTAATCTGAGGGATCTAAAAATCTGTGGTATATACTGGGGAGAGAAAAAAAAGGAAATAAAACAAAATCAACATTGAAAACTTCTCTAGCCAAAATTGAAGGCTGACAATTAAGCAGTGCCATGTAAATAGCTAGTCTCCTTCGCAGCCGTTATTAGGGTCGTCACGCAATGTTCCTCCCCAGAGCAGCGTTGCGTGACGACCCTAATAACAGCTGCGAAGGAGACTATGTAATAGCATGTTCGCTATATTTAAGTATTTTACCTACCACTCCAGAAAATCTAGATGCCAGTAATAATATAAAGTCCACAGTGAAACAACAGACAAGGACAAATTCAACCCTGAAATAAACAAGAACAACAAGATCATCAAACCATCTTTTCTTGTAATATTTTCATTTAAAATTATATATAGTAAATGATTACACCAAATGGTTTCATCCACAGACTCAAAAGTTAGGATCACCTTACAAGTCTCCAGCATTCACTCTGCAAGTTAAAAGGATATAACAAAACCCAAATAACGATTTTCTTTACATCATGCAGGTAACATACCCTTGCCGTGATAACAAACACAATTTACTTTTTTCAATAGAACTGTCTGGGAGCAATCACTAATTTCATGCAGGGTGAATACAACAGCAGACCCAAATATGAGGAACTGTCTTACCCCCAAAAAATCTGAAAATATTTCCCAGATTAAGTCAACAGTCAAAATTACCCATTCCAGAGTCCTCCTTCTGCTCTTCTGGACCAGAATACAGGCCACGTTAGAAATATAATGTGTACCACAACATCAAAGATGAACAGCAGAATGCAGAAAAGATTGAAGGCAAACACCACAGGATGAACGCTACAAGAAACAAGCAGATTTGGCTAAAGAATCCAAGTTTTCATAACTAATATCATCTAAACACTAAAAACAAAAAAATAGTCCATAAAATTAACTACTGATAATGGTGAAAATGTTTTTGATAAACAAACCAATATTAACTTGACAATAATAGATACTGTAGAGAGGCAAGGTTATTTTTTTCCCATTGAACCAAATATAGACTCATAAACATATAACACGTACATATTTAACATGAACAACATTTACAGATCAAGACAATAATGTATTTTAACAGGTAACATTAATGTTCATGAAATTGAAACTGTTTACCTGGGATAAAAAAAAACTACAACATGCAACACACCACATTAATGTATGAACTGTTTTAAATTCAAATTGATCTCATGAAACCACAATTAAATTCAAATTGACCTCAAAAATTCAAGGGATTATTAGATGTAATGTGAACATATCTATAAGCTAGAATCCCACGCAGGAGAGAGGAGCAAAGAATAGGTTTAGGTAAGTCCCTTCCCACATGGGATCCCTGTGGTTGACGCAACTCTAACTTGGGAACATAGCCCTATATAATATTATTCACAGGGGACGAAAGAAATTCTGGATTAACCCAAGAATAAATTTTACCTGCAACACAAACACTTCTTCCTACCTTAACACATTTATAGTTGGAGGCTCAAAGAAAATGAGAAAGGAATGTATCAGAGAATTGCAGATGACAGCTCGACGGAACCAAGGGTTGTCCAGAATATCAAAACACCTAGAGAATAGAGCAAATTTTAGACAGAAAAAACTGAAAACTAACAACAAACAAATAATTTTCTATGCACAGAATCATACCTTTTGGCTAACCGAGGCTTAAAATATGAACGAGCTTTTCCATAACTTCCTCTAAGATAAAACAGAAATTAAAGTTTTTAGACCATGCTGATGGACGGTTTATAACCATCTGGCACTTAGAAAACCACCCAGCTTTAATCTTTACCTTCCTTTTAATGCATCATCAATGTGAGCTGCTGCTAACTTTAATTCCCTGTGTGAACCTTGTAAATCTCCAAACTGCTTTGTGAGTGCATCAGTCTAAGTATATACAAAAATCGCTTATTACATTAACCATTTCACTTCTTATACAGTTGTACCTCTATTAAGCAGCAACCCTCGGGGTACTGGCAGGTAGTTGCTTTATGGAGGTTGGCCGACTTAATAGAGGTTCATCATAAATTAGCATATAATCATTAGTATCACTTTATTTGGAAACAACTTCCAATGTCGTGCTTTTTTTTGCTGAGAGAGAATCATAATTGTCTGGATGATGTAAATTACAAAGTTGTATCAAGTTTTTTCTTATGATCCTGAATAAAAACGGTATTTTTCCAAGTGGGTGTTGAATATAAATGAGGGAGGTGTTTATCGGTAATTCTTCCATATGCAACATTAAATTTTTATTTTAGGCCAGTGCTTATTTAAGGGTGGCATTTGATCAAGAAAATGCTGTACTGCCATAAATCACAAGGAAAACCCAACAAACTCTGACCTTTCTTCTAAGAAAATTTGCACAACATTCCTTAGCAACCGTTGATAAGGAATGCATGCTGCACTATTTTTAAAAACTGCTTTTCAGGACGTCAACTCGATGTTGAAAACAAGATGGTAATTTTTAAAATGCAAGTGACAACCGAGTCATAATATCTTGTATATGACCTCATATGTGTGACGCAAAAGAAATACAAATGTAATCACAAAATAATTGTCACCCGAGGTTAAATTGGATGATCACTTTTTGACACTCATATCTGTGTAGTCACCTGTTTTGGAATTCGGCAACTTACTGGTAACCAAAGACTTAAGACTCAAATTAAAATTAATAAAACTCACCCCATCAGCTTGTGGAAAAAGGGCTAATGCAGGAACCAAAAACCCAAATTGTCCAAAGTTTTCCACCGATGATCGCCGCTTCAAGGTTCGAAACTTCTCTCCAGTTCTCAAGTTAGACAGAGAACTTTGTCCGGAACAAGGGATAGAAGGGGAGCGAGATTTCTCTTCCAACACATCGCTAGAAAAGGGGCTTTCATTCTCAACAAGAATTGTAACACTAGTGCTTCTTTCAGTCGCCTCCTCTTCAGTCACTTCATTGTCAGCCATTATACCCAATAAAAAAAGCTTATTAACACTAATTGCTTTACAGCTCCTGCCCGAAAAATAGAAGCCTTGATCATCATGAAGGAAACGCCAGCTTATTAAATTGCACCCATCAAGTTACATGATGAAGTTTACCGTGTACACAAATCTTTTTTTGCGGAAGAAGGAGTGCGTTGAAATTTCTTGCGGTGAAGTTTATCTATTAAAATGGTACTTGAGGTCGTAAACAACAAAGATATAGCACAAATGTTACAGTGCTTAATCTCCGGCCCCGAACACGTTGAAATTGTCACCATGAGATCATCAAGTTTGGTTTTGTACACATCTAATCCATTACCAAAGCAGTTTTGGTACCAAATTGTGTCCCTTGAATCCCCAACGTAATTAACAACTCACTCAAAGCGATCAAAAATTAAGTTAAAGTTTTCAGCCTCGTCCCGCTACAAGATGCTCGATGCGTAAAACGAAAGGTCATTCGATATTGGCTCCAATAAACTTTTGTGAAACCGTGAAAGCTCGTTAGAACATAAAAAAGCACTTTCCTTGTTGCTTCAATCAACAGAATGTAAATGACTGCAAATTCCAGAAGAGTTGACAGGATGAAAGGAAGCGTAAAAACAAACAAATTCTCACATTTGTCCCGACAGCGTGTTTGTTCTAGGTCTCGTCCACTTTCAGCCGAATACAAAGCTCGCGCTCTAATGACGTCATGACGGCTCGTGAAGCGTGAAACAAGAAGCGAGCACCGTGTGAAACAGGAATTTACAATCCGTTACTGTATCAAATAATTTCGTAAATGGAAGAAGACGACAGGAAAAAGTCCCTAAGAATGATCTCATTTGCAAAATACGAGCGGATAAACTTCACCTTTTACGAAGTTATATTGCGGAGAGTTACGGGCGTCTTCGTGCATCCAACTCAGTTCAAGATACCAATATCGCACTAACAAAAACATCAGACATATAAAGTCACCTCGGAAATAATTTATGGGGTGTGTACCAACGTCACATAACAAACGACTTTTGTATCCTGGTAACTCTGCTTTTTACCATAGCAGATCGTATTGTACAGGTTCACAAAATCTTCAATCCTGGGTGTGAGCATTCAGAACTTTTGGGTGGTATTATTTGTTCTGAGAAACCCCGACAGAATCCCATGAGAGGATCAGATCAACCAGAAAGTCTGGTTGTTTCATATATGTAGTGGGAGGGGTTACTGAGTAAAAGGGGTGACAGGCAGAACGATACAAGGCATACAAGGCATACACCGTTACGTGGCTGGGCGCGGCTGGCTCCCCTAGCTGGCAAGATGAAACAAATCCTGAGCTTATTCTAGCCGCGTCCGTCATAAGTGACCAAAAGTACCTACAGATCCGACGCTCTGGTGACGAGAATACACGAGTCTCCAGCTGGCGGAACGAACGTTTCACGAAACAGGGAAACTGAATGCGCTTCACACGCTGGAGAAAGCTCTACACAGTCTAACAACAGCATACGGGGTTGTAAAATCATTTTATTTTTTCTGAGACATCTACCCTTTAAAACTCCGGTTTTTTTACCGGCAAACCATTTTTAAATTTTTACTGATTTTTATAACATGTTCTCTTAGTTGCTATTAGTCTTTTCTACTCTTATCTTTCGGTTCGTTCTACGAGAAAAAACCCTTAACAACTACTTATACCAACCGGTCCCTTCAATTACTTTATACCTTTTACTTTGTCAATAAGTTTTTTAAAGCCACATAACGTTCCTCTAATACTATATTAGCTTTTTTGACTTCTAATTTCTACAATATTTATTTCCTAGGTGGCCTTAGGCAACCTTTTTTCGACTATTCCTTTATTCTATACAGAGCAAATACAGTGCAAAACAAGGCACACTCCCTCGAGGCACTTGTTACTGTCCACGTTTTGTTTTATATAATAATGGAAAACAGAGTTCGAGAAAAGTAAAGAAGCTTAAAAAGAAAGAAAACACGATTGTTTTGAGAGAAATTCAATGTTTTCGACCGCGGTTCACTGCGTTTTTTTTTTCGCATTGTAACGCGCTAAACCATGGTTTGAGCTACAGAGGGTAAAATTACAGTCAATGTATGAAGGAAATCAAAAGGAAATCGATTTTGGTTCGAGTAAGCGCGAGGTTCGAGTTGGCGAGGGTTCGAGTTATCGGGAGTCGACTGTATTCTTATTCTGGAATACGATCAATCCAATGCACCCTTAAACGGACACACCCGTGGGAGGACTCCCATACGAATATGACGGGGACGTTTTTCGTCTCGTTTCGCGCAAGGGTCAACAATTGAAATATTAGATAGTTTGGTCACGCTTAAAGTGCTGAAGGGCCTGTTTCTTGAACGAGACGGTAACTTTTCGGGCCCGAAGGCAAATTTTCAAATCAAAACCTGTTGAAAAGTAGCATAGTTCACAAACTCACAAACCCGTCAATTTTGCTGCGTTATCTGATAGTCCTTGTTTCATTTTCAAAATTATTGAAACTTTGAGCTTGAATGCCAAAACGGCAAACATAAAACACCTTTACGGCCCCGAAAAGTTACCGGGACTTTCGAGAAACAGGTCCTAGGACGAAAACCATTTTTTTTTTACCTATTAAGGTATCGCTTGGGGATGTACGTTAAGAAATCTCTATAAATAATATAATTAACAAACAAACAAAGAATGTCGTCATACTGTGTTGGAGTAGAAACCTTTAGGGTTCGAATAAAGCCACACCCAGATTGGACTCTATTAAAGAGCTCAATTCTAATTTTCCGACGGGTATCCCCCTCTTTTTCGTATGGCAGTCCTCCACCGGAAGAGTTGGTTCTTGCCATTCTCTATTTACTCTCTATTGCGAAGACACCTCTCAAAGACGTCCACGTAGTTCCGGTCCCACGGTGTCCGTCTGCACAACTGCATGCACAATTTTGGCAACTTAGGACCCGCTACTCTGCTACATGATCGTTCTTTGTGTCGTCACGCAACGCTCTGGGATGGAGCGTTGCGTGACGACACAAAGGAAGGGTTGTTATTGCTAACATTGCTAGAAGTTCTATGTAACGTAACCTAAAGATGGAACATGTGGTTAATAAATTCTCTGTGTGTCAAGCAAACTAAAGATGAGTGTCACGATCAGACTCTCGAAAAAAGACCGCAATGTCAAGTGGGTATTCACTCTGGCTATCAAAGGACTGACGAAACAGCTGCGCGTGTTGCCAAGCAACGTCTCCTTTCCCGCCACTAATGGTAGCTGTGAGTTTCAGGGTCTTCGAGCCACTCAGAGCTGAGGAAATGGTTGATTCTTGTCCTGTAAGAAGAGAATAAACGAAAAATATAAAATTAATAGTGAACTTACGCAAAAGGAGGGCGGAGGAAAGAAGACGACAAACCTTGTGTGACAAGAGTGACAATAATTTGGTTAAAAAACCTTTCCGCCAAACTTCACCCTCCTTTAAACAGATCTTTTTGTAAAAGACCAGAAAGCAGTGATGTTAGGTAAAGATCACGACGAAACATGCAAATAATAGGCCTGTCACGTTTGTTACACACAAGCGTTTTGCCGTTCACTAACACTTGTATTTAAATTTAAAAACAGTTACCACGATTTAACAAATGCAGTGGAAAATAAAACGACCTACCTCCAGAAAGTTTCTCCCGTTGGCTCTCGTCATCTCCACTTAGCACCCAGTCCACTCTACCTGTCTGAAACGTGGTGCTTGTTGCTACTATGGTAACGCTGTCAATCACTAAATTGCAAGAACTTAAATCTACCTGCCATGTTATTGAGCCTGTTGAAGCAGATTCTGTCCTCGATAAATATGTCTGAAAATAACAGTTCATAAGAATTACAGGGGCTTTGTGCTGCTATATATACCGTATTTACCCGTGTATAATGCGCACCCGTATATAATGCGCACCCTATTTTTCAAGACACTTTCTAGAAAAAAATTGCAATTCGTATTGTCATAAGAGGGCACAAACCGAAACATTTTCAGCGCAAAATACAACAAAATATTCTTCTTTGGACTTGCGCCACAAACGAACGTTACTTTCTGCAATTCCAAACTCTCTCTGGGCTGCTCGATTTCCGTGTTCTTCTGCAAACTGTATAATCTTTAACTTTTCTGATGTTGTATAACTTTGTCGCTTCGTCGCCATAATCGATCACGTAAGTTAACAGTGATTGAAATAAAGATACTTGACAACATTGTCTTTAAATACCGATTGTTGTTTATTGATTGTAATTAAACAGCTGTGATAGGTAGTTTATATTCTTGTCATAACAACAGTCCTGGAAACAGCCATCTGCTATTGTTTCTTTTGTTTATGCAAATGAGTAGCGCTTCGGAAACAAAAGGTTCCGTGTATAATGCGCAGCGTAATTTTTCAGCCTCAAATGTCGTAAAAAAAGTGCGCATTATACACGGGTAAATACGGGTACTTGAAAACATACATGGTGTTAGCCTGTGAACAGGCTCTCTGTTTGGGGAAAAATAGCGCCGCTCGACTAAAGGCCTGTTCACAGGCTAACATGGTGTATTACAGCCTCGCCTCCGGGATGGGAACACGAGGACCCTAGCAACGAATCTGGGTCTCTTAAGCTGAACTGTTTCCAGTTACAGAGCTGCAAGCTTTTCCTAAAAGCTCGCGTTCTTGAAATCACATGGCATTAACCAACAGAACCGTTTCCCGCCAAAAGTCTCTACACGAACCACACCATGCAAAACCGAGGATGTCAGTAGACAATAGTAGTCCATAACATAAGCAGGTTGAGTATGATCGTCCGGGTGAACGTAGGACTGAATAGGACTGTCATTGTCGACGATCATACTCAACCTACTTATTAAATGACTGCTGGGTTCAGACCCTTCACAGTAGTATTTTGTTTTTACATTGAATTTACTTAAGTAAAAACTCGCGAATACAAGATCTCCCGTTTTTCGGGAACACGAACAAGAATGGTAGAATGAAGTGAGGTTCTTATATATCAGGTTCTCATAAGAGGATCTGGAAGAGGTTAACTGACAGTTATAATGACATTTACCTAGAATTTTACTGACAAATGACAAAGGACCCGATTGTCCTTTATTATCTGCAAAAACCGTTTTGAGGCCTTTCAAGCAAGCAAGCAAGCTGTCAAAATGGGAAAGTCGCGAGAAGTCACGCGTGAGCGGCACGCGAAAGAAGACCCGAAGTCTCGGCTTCGCCACTCACTCGTGCGTTTTTACGCGTCTCGTTTCGCTCACCAGAAATGGATAGATTGCTCGCAGGCTAGGGTGTTTACCGTAACAACTTTGTTAAGTTGTCGGGTTAAAGATGAAGTGTCGTTTTGTACAGAGTAATTCAGCGTTGTAGAACTTACCATTTTCCAATCGCGCTCAACTTTACGCATCATAGAGCTATATGAAGCAACTCTTGATTGCCAGTCGGATATGTCTAGCTTTCTATCAAAGCCTCTGAGATACTTGTTTATAACACAGTTGTAGCAAAATCGCAATCTACAAGACATGTAATGAAATAATTTTTTAGATGCAAACTGACGAATTGCACGTGCACATCACGTGCAGATCGTCCACAAAAGATATGGAGAAGTAAGATTCACATTAAGCGCTACCCAAACGGCAATTTCAGAAATATTATGGTACTTTTCGAAATGGTCTATCAAGACACCTTTTCAAAAATTATTTTTCAGAGGCTTTAAGGCAGTTAGACGCGGTTGTGACTGTGTATAGTTAATCCCAGCGTTTTACGATGCGCACGCAAGGAATTCACGCGCAGAAATGATAACGCGAAAATAATGCATTCATAACTAATAGAAAATCGTCAAATAGTCAAAGCATTAAAAAAACACACCTTTTTTCCTTGATTTCCTCGTCAGTAGGTTTGTAAATGTAAGGTTCGTGCTACAACGAAAACGAAGACAAACGAATATGTTACTCAGCTAAATAAAGACATAGAACAGAGTGGCTTATACTTGAGCTTGGATTTGAGGCTTGGAGACCAAGCCCACAGTTGCTATCACCTGGAACCATGCTAGGGTCTTTATTTATTTCTTTGTTTATTTCATTTATTTCAACAAATGAAAATAACTTTAAAGTCCACTGGACATGAAATATATATTTCTGTCAAGAAATCATTGACTATTTTTAGTTGCATTTCAATGCATTTAGCGATTTTACAGAGGCAATTTGGCGTTTCTCTCGCCAATGTATTCATTTTTTTGGAAACTCTAACTCGATAACGTCATACTCCAACAGTTTAAAAAAATCTCAAACTCGTTGTATTCTATTCATAACGTCCAGGCCGTGGCAGGAACTCCATTACTTTAGCTTCTTCTCAATGAAGGCGAAATGAAGGCCTTCTGAAGAAATTGAGGAACTGGAAGGGCTGCGTCAGTGGAAGAGGGGAGGGGGGGGGGGGGGGGGCATCAACTGAGTTCGTAAAGTCAATTTGCTCTACCACCGTAAAACGATTTAAAAGATGACTTCTCGTGCGCTCAGCTCAAAACGTCGGCTTTTCAACCTTTTACGACGAGTAATAACTTAAATTCACGTTATCAACTGAGTAGATAAAATCCAACCGTTCGCGTATTTCTCAAACTTCACTAACCTTATATTCATCTTCTTGTACTTTTGTTTCTCCTCGAAGCAGCCTCCAGGCCAAATCACCCGAGACTCTCCCCTGAAGCTCACCATCGCGGACAGATTTGATGGTAAAAAATTCTACAATTTCCTTTACTTGGCGTTCCATTAAGACCTTCTTCCGTTCTTCACTTAAGTTTCTTTGGCGCTAAAGACAATTTGAATCAAGATTTAGATGCGAGAGACACAGGAGTATAACAGACCAGATCTGACCCGGACAGGAATCAAACAGGAATGAGCAGTCGGCGCTAATATCGGCCATTTTACGGTAAATGGTATTAGTTTACCTTGCATGACCTCGACGACTACAAGCTAGATCCAGTTTATTCAAAAAGGCTATAAGATAGATCAAACGAAAAACAGCGAGAGGCAAGCTAGCTTATAAAAATTAAGTGAACTGTAAACCACAGATAACACCCCCAAAACTCCCCATTCATCGAGTTCTTCCAGCCACCCACCCATGTTTATAACGCGTTAAACCTCTCTTCTCCACAGAGCCTCCAGCTGAGTACTCCAATAAAAACAAAACGATTAAAACCGGTACGCGCTCGGTGTTCTTTCCCATTGCCCCCGCGCACCTTTTCCTCTCCCCATCCCCCGACGACACAAATAGGGCTCTGCTTAGGAGAGAACGCTCGAGCCAATAGAATGGCCGGTCTATTGCTTAAATAGCATCTACATCCCCGACTTGGTAGAATATTTTGCATGGTAGTAAAATCTTTCTGTGTATTTCTAATACTCAATAGTATCCATCGTGCCCAACCTTAGACAGTCTTGAAAAGTGGAAAAAGAAGAGAATGAAACAAATTAACATTTTGCACCCTTTAATAACAACGGCGTGCGTTCGACAAGAGTCATTTCCTCGAATTGCGGTCGTTTCGCCGGAAAGTCGATTCGCCCGAAGGCGTTCGCAAAGACATAAGTCGATTCGCCCGATGGTGAACCTACTTCTCAGAGATGTTATTTTAGTTAACCTTGGATTTCACATGTGCAGTCACTGTCTTTCCATGCTTATTCCTCAGGCTTAAAGAACAAAAAATACACATCGGGCGAATCGCCTTAGTCTGGGCGAACTCCCATCGGGCGAATCGACCTGATACCATTTCCTCACCTCTTCTGTTAGATTGGAAATTGTTTCACTTAACCATTTTTCAGACACGAGTGTTCTTGCCTTGCGCACTTCATCGTGTTTAGCAGAGTAACGCCACGTCACATCCAGCACCTGATAAACACAAAGCAAATAAGGGATACTGTCCGAAACCTCAAGCAACCACGATAAACGTTTTACTGTTATACCGAGTTATTGTGAGATCCCAACTATGGAATCTATGGATGGAATTCTAAAAGGTTTTGGCCAACTCACTTGGTGGGTTTGACTGGCAAAAACGTCGGTACTTTGGATAAACATAGCCTGTTTCCGGCCGACTGCGAGATAGTCGGGTCCGCTGAATTGAGAAAGCGCCGGCGATTCCTTCCTTCTTCCTTTCTCCCGCCTCTTTTTCTCGCCCCGCCAACTTTACGCGTGCTTTTCACTTTCGCGTCTCCCCCACTATCTGAGAGCCGGGAACAGGCTACGATAAACACTGTAGTTTATAACGCACATCAATGAGATGGATGCACATGGAGTATAATACGGTACAACATTCATCCTTGACATCGAACAATTATTCTTGTGGAATCTTTTGATGTGGCCCCAACCAATGCAGACCACATTTCCTTTTCAGACTAACCTCTATTCAAACGAAACCTTTTGGGACAATGCGTTCGCACGGTATAACAATTTTTTTTTTTCGGCATTTTTTTTTATTTCAGGAATGTTTAATGCTTTTTAACGGTTGAGCCAGCTTTTTTCTGCGGGAAGGCTTTCTCTCTTATCTTATCGTTGTAACTTTTGTGTCCGTGAACAAAATCCCGTCACGGTGGTGTGAACAGTCAAACGAAACCTAGTGGGCCGTGCTTCCGCACGGTCACCTGTTTTTTCAGTATTTAACAAAGCGAAATTTGAAATTTTTCTCGAATTTTCAATTTCGGCATTCTTCAGGGGGGTTATACAGTTCACTGACCTGTTCATGTGAAAATGCGACGATGTAAGAAAGTTTCTTCCCCCAGCCAGCCTCATAAAGAAGTGGTTTATCGCACGTGTTCTCACAAGAATCACAATGAAGCCATCTCTTCTGCGCCTCGGAGTACACTTCAGTCCACACGTGATCAGTCCAGTCTAACACATGACGTGACTCAAACCCAACAGCTCGACAACAAAGTGTGAAACAGTTAGCCCATTCACCACACCTTCCTTTGCGGGTTTCTGCGGAAAAGAGTGACCAACATCAACTTTCTCCTACTTATAACCTTACGTCATCAAAAGAAAAGGTTGCGAGAATTGATCAAATGATCATGAAAGGAGAAAGGCTTTGATTTTTGGTAATTTATCTCAACTTATTTTCTAAGGAAATGTATATGAAGAATAGCCTGGAGAATTTGTATGTGGATATTGATCCAGGGTTGTCAAAAGTAGCCAGCTGCCGGCGAAAATCGCCGCCTACTTGGTAAGTATCGGCCGGCTACTCTGCTTGGCATTTCTTCACGGATAGCGTTTTTTAAATAAAATATCCCTGGACTAGCCGCTTAGTTTAACAACTCAGCCGTCTACTTCAAAACTTTCAGACAACCCTGTTGATCAGATGCTTGAAGGGTTAACAATCCTTGTTCAGCACAAAGATCATTTTAATGTGCATAAAATCTGTGATTGCTTTGCTTCTCCAGTTGTGCTTTACAATCAGTTAAAAAATCTTGTACTACCTTACCGACCAATCAGATCTAAGTAAGGCAAAATCCAATGGTAGCCTCCTCGCACGATTTCTCTCGCCCTTTGCGTTAAGTAAATGCAGTCATTTTCACCTCTGATTGTTTGAGTTTGTTGTGATTGGCTAAAAAAAGCTCTCACCACTTTCTCAACCAATTGGCAGTGAAGTAAAATGCACATAGACGAAGCTGTCGTTAAGTAATGGCTATGTATATTCATTTATGATTGCCTCGTCTGCCGTGAATAGCCATTCAGCTCAGCATTCAGACTAAGAGCTCCGACATTTATCAGTCAAAATGGTGGGCCCTGGTTAACGACTTTCAACCTTCTCCACACTCTTATTCCATACACAATATAACACAGCACTAAAAAGGAACTTTTACACCACGCAATGTTTTGAATTGAAGGATCAGTTCCTATATTCTCATGACCATTATGATTGATAAACAAGTGATGTTATAAGGAGAATTTACATTGCAGGGCCAAGGTAGCCTACAAACGCAGACGTATTTCCGGTAGTTCCTTCACTTCACGCGAAAACTTTCCGGGTGGAGAGAAATGATGACCAGAATATGTCTGTGTTCGCAGGCTAACACCAAGGGTTATAGACCATGAATTCTCTTCCTTACCTAACAGTTTAGCAGGATGATTATATCGTGGGAACCTTATTGTCCTCATGCAGGTTTGACATTTATAACTTTCCACATTTCCAGCGCCCCACCTGGCCTCCTCGGGTGTCGGTGGAATAACACCAATAGGAAATGTCAGCGAACCACAGGACGGGCAAGATGGCTTGTCCACCCACTTGAAAAATTCAGCTGAAATGAGTTAAATCAAAATTAATGAGATGAATTATGGTAACAGTTTTTAGTCACCTTTTAAAACATCACATAGGACTATTTTGATTAGACTGGAGCAAGTACTAAAACATAATTCACTTTGTTCAAATGAAAATTGATTCACCAAAAAGTACGTACCAAGAACTCTAATAAGGACAGTGCTGCTTACACCCCCCCCAATCCCCTCCTTCACCCCCACCACTGGCCAGGACAACACAACTTCTACATCATCCGCTACTCCAAGCCGTGTAAAGTTGTAGTCTGAATATTGTTTTCCTGTCTTCTAGTAGTGATTCTAGAACTAATGCTTCTAACCCTCCCTTGAGCAGACACCTAGTGTGGATGGACCCTTAAACCTGCTTCCTAACAGAAGGTTAGACTGTACAAGCCCCTGAAATCTGTGCCAAGTGGATTGTTAATACCTTTAAACCAAGACAGAAGTTCTAAAATAAGACAATCCTGCTCATCCACGCCACTCCCTCCTCCCTCTTTTGTTCTGTCACTAGCCTCTTTTGCTCTTTTCCTCAACTCAGCTAGAGGGATAAATTCACGTGTCCGCTGTTGTAATTCTGGGTCTTCATACAGAAGCACATGCTGCAGTGAGCTTTGTAGTCTAAGAAGGAAGTCCCTTTCATTGTCCTAGAAATTAAAACCAAAACAGAACAAACAGGCAAAATCTTAGCGAACTGTCTCAATCTGAATTCAAATGGTTGACCCTTGAACAAAAGGACCAAGTTACAGCGTGATCCCAATCTCTTTAAAATTAAAATCTGCAGACAAAAACCTCAAATGAAGTCTCTTTGGCAGAACCCTAGCATGGTATATATTTCTTAGGATTTCACAAAAAGATATTTCGAACTTTGTAACTTTTTACACTGGCCTTTATTAGGGGTAAAAAGGGGTAACCTTGTTCCCATTCCTCTCTCATGGCTGAAAATGGTATTTTAGCTCTTATGCTTAGGGAAACAAGATTAAGTGGAGATACTCCTTTATGGAAAACATTCTGAGAGACAGCATCAATAATTAAAGAAGTTCTTTTACCTACCGAGGAACTTGCGGTTGGATTAGGAATAATGGAAGGCTGTGCACATCCCATATTAGGTGGTGAACATCCTGAAGACTTGTTACCCTGTGGTGATGGGCTAGATACTTGAGAGTCACTGCGATGGCTTCTTTCATCATTTAATGTATCTTGGAGTATCAACATGTTCTCTAATGATTCTCCAGGTGGACAGACCAGTTGGTCACCTCGCTGAAGTGTTAAAGAAAAGAAGAGAAAAAGAAAGAAATACTGCCAACTTTCCTCACTTGCAGACAGTGGCTGAATAGGCCACTTCTGAGTTCCAAAAACCCTCCCTTCCAAAATGAGGCCAAGTGCACAACCTTTCTTGTGAAGATGAGTTTTATTTGCATGAGAATGAAAAACCATTTCCATATGAAAGGCTGAGCACTTAACCTCGTTTTTATACAGAGGCCCCGGGGGGAACTGGGAAATGGCCTATTGAATGCACATTCTTGACCTAGGCAAAAATACAGGCTGTTTTGCGGCCTAGGTAAATAAAGGCAATATTTTAACTTTGCTACATAAAAAGGTGAAGAGAATACCTCTTGAAATCCTATAGCAAAGAGACATTCAACTGCCCCATTCACCGGCAGAAGTCGCGACTGAAAGATTTTGTTGCCTACTCGTATTGATCGATACTTAGGGTTGTCTGGATTGTTGATAATATTAGAAGCAAACTTGAGGAGAAGACCTGATGCATCCATAAAAACGTCTGAAGGATTGTCTACTAACTGCTCAAAACAGTCCCATCCACGCCCCACTGCAACTCTTTTGGGATCCACACTCTGTCAAGAGGGAAAACAATAGAATTAATTTGAAGATACAGTAATACAGTCAACTCTCTCTAAGATGGACACCTTTGGGACCGGCACTAAGTGTCCGTCTTAGAGAGGTGTCCGTCTTATAAAGAGTCAAATAAAGGGAGTAAAGAAAGGAAGGGACCAACTCTAAGTGTCCATTTTAAAGAGGTGTCCATCTTATAGAGGTGTCAGTTAAGAGAGAGTCGCCTGTAAATGCATCCAGTGACTCCTGGGGTTAAACCATCCCCGTGGGAACAAAGCACCAAAGGCTTTTACCAACTGGTAGTGATACTGTACTGTAGCTGGGTGACCGCCACTAAGGGTCAGAAGCCAAGGATTTCCCATGGCTATTATGAGTATGATCCCAGGCAACTTTCATAGGAATAACAAGAAAAGTAGAAACAAAAAAAATTCCTATCTGTTCACTGCCCCACCTACTTATTACATTTTACAGCTTGAAATCTAAGTGAAAGCCCTGTAGCTGTATTCTAGTATAGCGTTGTTAACCCTTTAAGACCCAATATCAACATACAAATTCTCCAACCTGATCTCTATACATTTCCTTAAAGAATGAGTGCAGAGAATTTGGTAATAGATCAAGGCATTTTCTCTTATGTGATCATGTTATTAATTCTCATAACTTATCTCTTGACAGTGTATGGATAATGTTTGGAGAAATTTGATCTTGGTCACTATTGGGACTTAAAGGGTGAAATACAGTCGAACCTCCACTAACGGCCACCTCTCCACAATGGCCACCTTTCTATAATGGCCGCTTTTTTTGGCGGACAGTCGATACATTGAGTCTTGTTTAAACCGCTCAAAACAGCCACTCTCTTCTGTTCCAAAGGTGGCCGTTGTGGAGAGTTTCAACTGTATGCTGCAATTATCCATCTTTTGTAAGAAATTAATGTGCATAACACAGCAGGGGTAAAAAAGAAATTGACTTGATGAGGGTGACACATTTACTGGAAACCCAACAGTTTACACTGTGGTGCACAAACAAGAACAGAAGCAGATATTTTAAATTAATAAAAATGACAAGCAAGAATTTCAACTGATCAGAGGCAAATCAGTTGGGTGTTGACTGAAGAGTTGAGCTCGGAGCTTCCAAACCCATGTCAAGAAAGTGACCTGATAGGGATTTGAACTCTGAGTTTGAATACAGCACCTCACTACAGCAATTGGTTATGCTGCCTCTGTGAAGAGAGGTGTCCTTATCACAATTGGCTAAGCTAACAATTAACAAAATTAACTTATACCACAGTGTCCACAGCACCACCAATCCACTGATTGATTTTATCTTCTAAGCCTTTGGCATCTGCACCTGTCATTTCATCCACTTTCTTTCTGTTTTTGTAGAAGAAGAATGTCGGCATGGATTGGACTCCATTACGCACTGCTGTCACCTGTTGAGACAAGAACCAGCACTGTAAGAAATACAACTAACCCTTTACTACTAAAAGCGGAGTAGATATATACAAAACAATTAAACTATTACTGTCCGACTCTGAAAACCGTTAACACCTTGGGGAGCAAGGGTGGTGCAGTGGTGAGAGCACTCGCCTCCCACCAATGTGGCTCGGGTTCAAATCCTGGCTTTGACGCCATATGTGGGTTGAGTTTGTTGTTGGTTCTCTCCCTTGCTCTGAGAGGTTTTTCTCCGGGTACTCCAGGTTTCCCCTCTCCTCAAAAACCAACACTTTCAAATTCCAATTCGATCTGGAACGCACGGACACGTTTCAACGATTTCTTATGAACTCCTTAGTGATCCGTGGGTAAACAAATTACATTTTATAATTCAAATTTTTTTACCTACAATATCTCAAGAATGTTTACTGTGTTGTGACTAATAACAACAAAGATCACAATCGACATAGCGTCGAGCAAGCCACAAAACTACAAAAATCGGAACTGTAATTACCATTGCTGCTTGTGGTTTATTTTTCTTCTCACCTGATTGGCCTTCTCATTGCAATACAGTAACATTCCAGAGATACTTCTGGTGTTCACGATTTTGCACACTTCACAGTAAAAAAGACTAAATTATTCTGAGTACCCTGCTATGCAATAATCTCACCTGACACTGATCAACATCTACTTTCAGAAAAACAGCAGCAGAATACTTCACACTCAGACGTGCAAAAACAGGGGTCATCATGCGGCAAGGACCACACCTAAAGCCACAATAACAGATCATCACAACTCGGGACCTAATTCAATAAGCAAGGTCAAACTAAACTCTGTCAAGGCCTTGCTGAGGGGTATATGTACCAAGGGATTAGCCAAGTGCACAACTGGGTGTCCTGCGGATAGCTAAATCCATAGTCAAAACTCTTGGAACACTGTAATAGCTAGACAAAAGGATGCATTTTCTCTCCCTCCCCACCACCCCCTCCCCTGGTGCAGTGTTGTATCATGCATTCACTCTTTTTCAACACAATCAAAAATCAACATTGCTTGGGGGAGAGAGCAGGAGAGCAGAAATAGGTTCTTACAACAACTAGCAGGGAAAACTTTCCCACGTTTTTAGAAGAAGTTGATTATGAGTTACTTGAGCAAAGAGCCATCTTTGCCCCTAATAGTCTCAAGTTTCCCAAGATGTTTTGTCCAAGGTTGTAGTTTTTGAAGGAAAGAAAAAACTTTTTTTTTCATCTTAGTTTAGAGCTGGCTTGGGAGTAGAAGTGGAATCCCACCAGTCAATTACCTTGTAACATCTTAACTTATGACCCGTTTCTAAAAACTAAACTGAAAATTCAAATAAATTTACTTCTTGTACATGTAACTTATCAAATTTGAATGACGACTTATTCTTTCCTTCTTCTTTTCACATAAATTTGTAACATCAGTATACAAGAAAATAGAACAAAAGAAACTAAAATTTGCAACAAGGAAAAAGCAGAAGGGTGAACCACAAGTGTCATATACATTTGTACAAAACTTATCATTAAACTATAAGTCCTTGTGAAAATAAAGATATTTGGGCCTGATCAGACGTGGTTTTTTATTCAAACTCACACAAACTTGTTATTGTTTAGCACTACAAAACTTGAGGAAAATATAATGTCTGAATAAAAAAATGTCCGCTTGTCATAACAGTTTGAATTTATGGTTTCATCAGGTATCTTTCTGACACAACACCTAGTCAGATTTATTTAGAAACTACCCCCTCATGGGAAATTATGCTCACTGAAGTGAAAACTAATCTAAAAAATCTATTTAAGACAGGTTGATTTGTGAGTGATGAGTTTCACAAGCATCCTTACAACCCTTAGGATCTGAAGTATTATTATAATACCTATTTTGTGCAGACTACTTAACAGCCCAGTCAAACACAATTTCATGATGATGAAGGTCCACTTATGGTTTTGAAAATATTGTCAGGTTTAAAACATTACCCACCAAGAATAGAACTACAGCTCCCTGTAAGAATAATTGTATTGTAACACAATAAGTGAGTGTTCTGTTGCTGAAGATGTGGTTGTACCCGTGTTATTCAATGGACAAAGAAAACTTCATAAAAACAGTCAAATTCTCTTCATAAAATCCCTAGAAATATAGAGTATAAAGAAAACCGTTCGACCAGAAAGGTTTCATTTGAATGGTAACATCACAAGAATCTGTGGACAAATTTAAACGTTGCAATGACAAATCAATTCTCCATAATTTGGTTGAAAAAGGAAGAACATGTTAATTTGAAATTTACTGCTTTTAAAATCTTCTCCAGAAGCCAGAACATTTTAATTTACCAGTATTTGAAGAGTGCCGTATGTTTTTTTAAAACATATAACTATGATATATTCTTTCAATCCCATATATTGAAAGGAAATGACACAAAATGGATGTCAAGTGTAAAATAGAAACATTACAGCATTTCCTGTCTTGAGGGTAGATCTTTTAAATTAAGTTATCAAGTCAACTAAAGGTTGTTTAAAAAGGAAATGACCTTTTTACAAGCACTCAAATCACAAGCAAAAGTATGACTAAGCAGTCATGACTAGGCAAACACACAATAAATAGCAACAAAACTACTCGTAAACGATATGACTTCAAAACAACACAGAAACAATAACTTGAAAGAAGAAAAAGGCAACACTTTTATGTTTGCTGGATATTGATGTTGATCAAAACAATCCAAAGCGTAAATTTTTGGATGCAAAAGTTTGTTATAATTTGAATTCTAAGTGTACAAAATTTCAAAGAAAGATTCTTAATTTAAAACAAAGAGCAGATAAAAGGAATAGATCAACATGGTTAAACTTGTGAAAAAATGTCATGTAACTACTTTATATTATCTAAGGCTGTGTTCTATCAGTTCCTGGCGGCCTGTGGTGCCTAACTTTTGCCCCTGGGCGACTAGAAAATCTTACTTTTTTCGTACAAATCATATGCTGGGCATCTTGGATTTCATAAGTTCAGAACACTGGGCTGCCTTTCAATTCTTCTTAGCACACAGCTACCTTGTCTAAATTTATCTTACTATAAGCTAAAATAACAGCTGCTAGGCATTTTTATATATAATAATTTTTAGTATAGGAGAAGAAATACTAAAACTGAAAAAATAAATATACCACAGAAGAAACATTGCAGAAGCAAGAATGACATCACATAAAATAAAAAGGTTTTTGTTTGTAATTGGTATGTACTTGGCTTAATAATTTCCATGGAGAGGATACATGTACATTAACAACAACTTTGGTGCTTTCATTCTTAGTGTTATTTCTTGTTCTAACTCTATGTTTATGGTAAAAGGCAACTTATCAACAAGCATGAACTGAACTTAGTACAAATGTTACGCAACAGCCTTGTGTAACAAATTAATTGTCTCTAAAAGTAGAATTTACAGTATAAGTTTAAATAATTTTTGTACTAAGTGTTTAAAAAGGTAATATTTTTAGCAACTTTAGACTTGCATTATCAAAAAGATTTTCGTTATCAAGGACATTTTACGCGAAATTCACCAGAGATCATGAACGTGATTTTTATAAGTAAGCGTTCGAATTTGTGAATGAAATCCTAATGCGTGACCGCTCAAACGGCATCAGTTAGGAACATACAGTTGTGTTTATATAGAAAGGTTTCCTGCGGTTTCCGTCTGCTACTCAATGTTTATTGGTTCTTTAGCTCATGATCCAAAAAAGAAAGCACTTGTATCTTACCAAGAAGCAGTGAAGTCCACCACAACAAGTCTGTTTCCTGCAAGATCGATCTGCTGTTGAAATTTGCCGTCCTCTTCGATAACAATCGTATTTCCGTGACTAAGGTCTGAAGAAGCCATGTTGGATCAGGGACCGAGATGTATTAAAACTTACAATCTCTCAACCGCAGAATATAAACTTTATCAATCAACAGTAATTAAATGATCTGGATACCAATGCGAGTTTTCAGGTTGAGCCTTTTCTGTAGTTACTATACAACACTCCACGCTGGAGCGAATGCGACCCCTTTGCCTTCTCGCAGTTCTCACCGGACACAGGTGACCGCGGCTATGAGTCATCAGCGGTGTAGCTAAATTTGAACAATTACTTCATGTTGACAGCTGGAAAAAGTACGGAAGTAGGGTCATCAGCTGACTTGAACCCGGGGATGGGAGGTAGGGGGGTTAGTACTCCCTTACCCCATCGGGTATTCACTTTGCCCATTTTGGTATGGTTTTCAAGGGAACTACGTAATGTATTAACGTATTTATAGTTTCAATTCCAAATGAGTTAGAAAGAAAGAAAGAGAAATATGCGCATTCGAAATGGATTGAATTATTTCTTTAGTTCGTGCTCTAATCTAGGTAATAATAACATAATTTCTGCCTAAAGGGCAGGTCTGAAAACGGGTATGGATTTTAGAGGTCTAGTCTGAAAACAGGAACATTTTTTGGTCTGAAATCGGGTAAAGATTTGAAGAACCGGGCGGCACACCCCCACCAAGAATTCCCAGGAGTACCCCCCGGGGTTCTTAGAGTGCTTTTACTTAACCCATGAAATAGATGGTAGACTAATACGCGGTATTACACTCTAATTTCATTGTTCTGGTTTATTGGGTACTAATTGTTACGCAATTCACCGGTTTAGTAAAATCACTCTGATGACTCGTGGATGCAAAGCTCTTCATATGACTCGTAAATGTTTTTCAGTTCTTTTAAAAACGGGGTGCACATGATAAAAGCCAGGATAGACAATAGACAATATTTACGATATCCACTGATAAAAATTATAACGCCTGTTTATGGCAATAGTAAATTGCACACAACGTTTTATATTGATGATGATGTGAAAGGTAAGGTTTCGGCTTTTAAAATTTTACGAAAAACACAGAACATACTCTGCTTTTTCTTTCCATTACTAATGAGCTTATGACTCGATTCATAGCGTTTTACCACTGATGAGCTAATAACTCGATTCATGGGAGAGTTTTAAACAATAAGACCATTACTGTTATTTAATTACCATACACAATTTACTGTGTGTTTTTAACACGGTTTTGTCCCATTTCATTTGCTTTCTTTCTGATACACGAGCACCTCCGTCACATTCCTATGGGAGTAACCCTGGGGGAAGACGCCTACTGACCCAGACCTCCCATGGTTAGGTTGAAGGTAGATCACACATTTCAAAGAGGCAAAAGAAAATAAAGAGTAATAAAAATTACCTGAAGGAGAAAGACGGACCCTTTCTGTTTTCTTTTCTTCTTGTGGAAATCATTAACCTTACCTTGAATGGACAATAAATATAAATAATTAAAAATACTCTGATTATTCCCCCGCTAATAAGGTTTTCCACGAATCGAATATGGTTAAGAATTCAAACTTGGCCAAAAATTTGAACTCAAGAACAAATCCACGAAGCAGTCAGGGTGGGACAGCGCTCACCTTTCGACAACACTGCCTCCCCAATTATTACTTCGCGACGGAGTCAATGGCTTCGGTATGCTCGCCTCCAAATTTTCAACTCTCCCCTTCAGTACGTAACAGTAGACTCTCTGACCAATCACATGACTAATAAATCTTGCTGTGCTTAAATGGGTATAACAGCAAAAGAGAGACTGCTAGCAGTCTACCACGAACATGATTTTACGAACCCCCTGCGCCTCCACCTTAAACTCATGACTTCTTTCAAGTTATTCAACACATACAGTTATAATTTGCATTGTCACGAAAGTGATTTGGCTGTACCTACAGTATACGTAGTTCGTTGAACTTCTCGTCTAAGATGTGCCATGACAGGCAGATTTATGTTTAGTTTCCCTGTTTGATTTCAAACGCAAATCAAAGCCGATTTTACCATCGATGTTGGGACGCCCGGCATTATTAAGGTTTGTTTAGGAGTTTTCGCGCCTGTTTACCATTGACTGATTAAAAAGTTTATTAACTTTTATTCATCTTTTGTTCATGCTATTGGTAGATATATTCGCCCGCGATCAACTCGCATTTGTTAGAAACGAGGGAGAATCGACCAATAATCACTCCAGTCGGTCCTGATTCTGTGCTTAGATACTGTTACAAGCACACTCCGGATTCGCTGCAAATGATCACTGCCACAATATTTTGTTGAAAATGCAAAACGGAAACTTGTGAATATTAGCTCAATTGCCTTGGCTGAATAACGTTTTCTTGCCTCACAAGTTCTGCGAGCTGATCAGGATGACATCGAAGGCCATCGAAGAGATGGAAGAACAACTTCAAACTCCGGAGCAGATTCTGTTAGCATTGAAAGCTGAAATGGTGAGTAGATAACTGCCTGCTCAACATAAAATTCTGAAAATATATCACGAATATTGATCAACACGGAGAGTGTAATAAGCGTGCAAGATTGTTAAATGCTCCGATTTACTGTCTCAGTTTAGCACTCTACTGAAATACCTCTTAACTCTCTTTAAAAGTTTCAAACTTGTTCGCGACTTGTGAACAGCTTTGATTTTAAAGATGGAGGTATCAAGTCCCATGAAAAATTTGAAAACATCATTCATCTTGTGTAATCAATACACAACTGAGCTTCAGTTACTACCGTTTTGTTTTAGCGCTGGATGATTTAAAGGAATTTAATGGATAATCTCGACAGCAAACAGTTCAACATTTATTCATTGAATACAATAGCATGTCAAAATGCAACTTAGATTCTCTGTCTACCTTGTTTAAAAAATGCTACAGAAGAGCAAACGAAATTTGCATTTTCATGTTAACATACCTCACCATTTGTGCATGTATTCACCAGTCCTTAAAAGATTTATTAGTAGTACTTGATAAATTAATGCTAGTGTTATGGAAATAAATCTGCGAATTAAAAAAACAGCCCATAAAATTTCTCTGTATTAAGGATTCTCAACTTTGATTTGTCCAGCGAGAAACGACACTGCATGCTAATTTATTTTCATGTGTTTTGTTGTAAAAAAAAAGTGTTCGACTCAGAAGTACTAAAGCCTTAGTTTCTCTATTGAAATTTGGCCTTCATCATTAAATTTAATCTAAAATATTGATGAACACGATACACTGTACGTTATGGGATATGATTTTACACGGGATGTGATTTTACACGTTCGGCTGGAAACAAAAGGAAAATAACTTTATTAACGTCACGGTTCGACGATTAAAATTTTCTCAACTAAGAAAAAATAGCAAAGAAGAGAGGAAATGGAAAAAAAAGGCGAACAATAAGGAGAAAAGGAAATCGTTGGCGTTGGTTCTCATTCAAACAAATCGAAACAAAACTGCTTAGTCTCCGATACGCATTGCTGAAGCAATACTTGGTTTAAGCAATTTTGTCATACCTTGTTCATATTAACGTCAACATAATGGAACAAGTTGATAAATACTACAAAAAAAAAACGTGTAACGAATAGATGGGTGTTCAGCTAAGCCCATTAATCAAATAAGGCGATACTGTTTTCCCCGGAAAAGAAGTGAACCAATATGCTGTTTCTGATACAGGTCGCGAGAATTGAGGTTTCCAAATGTCTTTGTATTTAACCACTTTCATAATTATTATAAATGTCATGTTTAACAAAGCTGTTTTAGAAACTTCAGGTTTTGCTTTCCGACAGGATTCCTTAAAAGCAGAAGAAAAGGCCTTGAAAACGCAGCTCTCTTGCTTCAAAGAAGAATTTCAGCTTCTTGTGAGGTCTGCCGCTGAATTATATCCAGAAATATTAGATGATGAATTCCCCCAAAAGGTTGCTGCAAGACAACAACTGCAGCTATCCCCAAATAAATCACCTAGCAGTCCCGAAGCCGATATTACAAGGAGACCACGTTACTCGAGAGGTAGTTACAGATCTAACGATGCACAGCACAGGAAACCCATGTTTGAACTGAAACGGTATCCGCGACGGTCTACGCGGCTTACCAGCGAGGAAGCTGTAGCGCAAATTCAAGAACAGTTTGAAAACAATGCTAGTGCCTCTTCAGGGATAGACGCCAGGAAAATAAGAAGCTCTTTACCAAATTCTCCCACCGATGAAATGGTGCCAGAACCAAGTCAAGAGAATTCTCTTGACGAGGAACGCACAAGAAGGCTCAAGAAAAAGATGATAGAGTCTAGAACAGTTGATGTGGTGAACTTGGGTTTGTTCTAAGGCCGTTGTGGTTCTTACCTTCGTTTAGTTCCAGTTTCTTGCCAACTAAACACATGACGAGAACGTCTCTAACACGTTGAGAGAAAAAGTGTCTTCGTTCGAGCCCAATAAATATGTCAAAACATTTTAATTTAAATGATAAGTTTATGGAGTAGTGAAAGTCAGTTTAGAGCTTTGTAACTGAGTGGAGTGTAGAAAGTCTGTGTTCTGTGTTGTGTGGACATCGAAATGCCTTCTGATTGGCCAAAAATCTCGTATTACTTTCTCATTTAACAAATTAGAAGTAAGACCAAACCAAATATGGATTTGCTCATACCCGTCGGTCTTCCTGCCCTTCGGAATGGCTGCAGGTGTTTGTTTAGATCACTGATTAGTTACTGTATTGTCAGTGCACAATATGGTTGGTCAAAGTCACTTGATTTTTCGACATGCTAGTTAAAACGACTTTTCAGAAATAGGCTTTTGCAAACGCCTAGATTTGAATTCTGAAAACAGCTTCTAATTGGGGGTTTATTTCGTCCTGCTTCAAACACAGCTGCTAATGATTTCAGAGGAAATTTCAACATTGGAGAATGCTCTTGCAATACGAGTCATAATTAGACTACAAGTTGTCTCGTATCTCGAGAGATGACGCGAGGGCGTCAGTCGTTTTTCGCGCGTTTCGCGCGGCGAACTTAGAGTAAAGATTTTGTAGTCTAAGTCAGTTATAATTTTATATTGATCAAAATAAATAAATAAATAACTATTAAATAGAAAATTAATATATGCCTAAATATGGTTTATTCAAGTAATATTGAAGCAATACTGCCTGGTATAGTGTTAATATTTTTGAAATAAAAGGTGTCTACGGCTACGTATGCCGTATAAAGAATCTTTGTAAAATCAAACGAGGGAATGTTTTTTCCGGCGGACAAGA